GTGTCTGCGTAATTTTGCGCATTTTGTAACAGCGATGTTAACTGTTGCTAAAATCCAAAAAAAATACATAATCTTAAACATTGATTCAACAAACTTAAATATAATAAAAAAATTATCATTATGTTTAAATCTTCCGCTGCAGAGTTTCTGCAGGAGTAGCATTGGCAACATCACATCATTGGCTGCAGCAAGGTTGGCGGTTTTGTTTATCTATCTACCTTTCCCCCTATTAGTCTTTCTTTTGCTTTTGTAAAAGCTTTTACAATCTGTTTTCAAAAGAAGGAAGAAAATGAAGAAAAAGGAAAATTTAGAGGGAAGGGGAAAGGAGGGGAGAGAAAAATTGAAAGAGAAGGAAAATGTTGTTTTATGTAAGAAAGTGGAGAGAAAATGGGAGAGAAAAAGTAGTTTGAAAAGTGTGATAGATATGTTATTTTATTAGTTATGTAACAGTAAAATAATTTAAATGTGTGTTATATTATTTTCATTACTTATAAATAGTGAATCAAATTTATTCTTTTTTGCTAATTTGGTTCATTGTTAATAAGTGAAACCATGAATAATAGTGTGATCCATATAAAACCATACAGAAAATACTATTAATAAGATAAATCATGAATAACACAAAAGCATAAAACCTAAAATGATAAGTTATGCATAAGGTGCTTAAGAAGAGAGAATTAAAAGAAAAAAGATAAGTTACTGAATAAATTGTCGGAAAGATAGTAACAACAAACTAACAAAGTGAGAGAATTAAATGAAAAAAAAAGTTGGAAAAGTAACGGGCAACAAAAAGAGAGAGTAAAAATGGAGCCAAGTCATTTTCCTCCCATTTTGGATGTTGGTTTCTACAGTGGGTTTTCTCCCCGTTTTCTTTTCCTCCAATACTGTTGAATGTTTAAAAGCAGAATATTGTTTCTTGGAATCTCAACTTTTCTTATGCTGTGTTTCTGTAGTGTTTTTATGGAGTTGTGACAAGAGGAAAAGAACAAAAATACTATAAGAAAAACGAAGGAAAAAGAAAGATTTGGGTGTGAAACCTATGTGCTATAGAGGGGAAGGAATTTTGCTATTGTCCTTCGTGTGTTTTTCGGAAGAGGGTTCTTTACCTTGCATCCAATGGTCCACATAAATGACTCATTTGATCAATGATCTACATTTTGTTTGGAGAATAGAGAGGCTCGAATATCACTAATTGTCTTGACAAGTGTGCCTTTTGTGTCAAACAAATTTAACTTACACATATTTTATACAAGTTTGTATATGTATATATCCTCCCACATGTATAAGTAGGTTCTCCCTCAAGACCTACTTAATTTTGTTTTTCCTGCTCTCCCCGCAAAGCATGGAAGGCCATTTTAGACTTTTTAATCCAACTTTTCGGTGCATGAGCTTCTTTTTTTTTTAACTACATGAGCTACTATTCTATGGGCATATATCACTTGCACCTTTTCATCTATTTTTCTCCCGTAGTCGACTAGAGTTTTAGAACTTAGAGTTACAAATAAATATAAAGATTAGTCCATCAACATGTATGCAATCATATCATATGAATAAAGTTTCATATGTTTCGATTTAACCAAGGGCGAATGGAGAGGGTTAGAGGGAGGAACCCGGGACCTACCATAACTCGGGAGATAATATGGTAGATTAGATATAATAATTAATCGGGTATGAAAAAGATCACGTACTTATTTAATATCTACAACAAATTTCTATCAAATTATAGCTAATGTGTACAAAAAAAAAATTCAATCAGAGATAGTGAAAGTGTAACGGGTGGCTCCGAAGGACGAAAATGAGTAAATTAGTATAATAGTTAATTAAGAATAAAATTTAGGGCACTTCTAATTGAGAATGGTTGACCGACAGATCATGTGTTCGAATCTTGGCGACCCATTTGTTAAGCACATAATATTCGAATTTGCGAAAACTTTAAACACGTATAAGTTGGTTTTGGTTAGTAGGAAAGTGTTAGTAAATACTAAATAATATAAGTTTCATTATTAAATTTCAATACGAGTTATTAATACTAAATGGTTTTGACAAAGAACTCCATTCAAAAGCAAATGTCTAACTAAATCATGAATAATGGTTTGATACATATAGAATGATATTCTTGATAGTTTCAATATATATTTAATTTACCAAGTTTTTCTAATTACAAAATTATATCATGAATGATTTAAAAAGCTAACAAAATTATTTTATCATATGTATTTTTTTTTCCTAAATGGACTCATACTTTACAAAATCATGGTTATGCCACTGAATTTAATAATTCACAAATATGGTCATTTATGCAAAAGTAACCAAATATCTGTTTGAATTTAATGATTGATCAAGATACAAATCCTAATTAGTTTTTTTAGGCTAATTGTTATTTTATCCAATGCTAAGTCGACAAATTTAAGAATCTTTTGTGGTGCTATGCAGAATATAGAACATGTCAAAGAAAATGAAGAAGATTTGGATGAGTTGTTTTGTGAGAATTGACTAGCAACATCAAACTCTATAGTTGTTAGATGATAATTTAGTCAATTTAAGAATCATCCTCACTAAATCTTATATGTTCTTTTAAATAATGAATTTCAATTATTAACATTTTTATATTTAAGACCCAACTTGAATGATAGATACCACCAAGCAATTACTAATGCATTTCATATTTAAGTTCCAACTTGAGTTTTGGATACTACAAAATATGATTTTGTTGTCTTTTGGTCATCAAGAATCCAAATTTTTAGAGTTAATTATGAAAAGCTACTAAAAATAATTGAAGAATGATACCTCCTCTCACTAATGTCTCATTAAATGAAGGAATGTAGTATTTTTTAAAAAAAATGAGTTGAGGTAGAAGTTTCAAAGTTTAGTGATTAAATCATCACAAATCCCATAACTCGGTTAACAGTTTCGAAGATAATCAATGATGGAAAAATTAACCTCCAACAACATTTGTGACTAAAATTATGTAAGTTGTCATGAAAATTACATATCATGTATAATCATGCTTTGTGTTTGAATTTGCTTCGCAAAAAATACAAAAGGTCGAAGTGTTTATTGATGATTAAGATAGTGGAGTTAAAAATGAAAATTGTTGATGAATAAACCGATTACATTGGAGTACCTATAATATTGTGACATTGAGTTTAATATGAGCTAATATACTCTAGCATAAGTCTTACCTTTTGAATTTCAACAAGAATCAACATAGAAGGCAAATGTTATCATTATCTGTTCATTAACACGACGTTGACGTATAAGTACGGCAAGAAAATAAAAGGAGATTACTGAAATTTAAACTTCAAACCTTTGTTAATAATGATTATCGTATTGCAACCGGCCAGCGGGCCGGGATACAATCTAGTTCTGATTGAACAAAAAACATATTTGTATAGAATAAATACACACATTAAAAAATATATTTGTATTAAACGGACACCGACTAACCATGAAACAAACATTAAAATAAATTACTGATAAGAAAGAAAAAATGCTTGATGCCATTTTTTTTTTTTAAATAGATAAATCGAATGACCAAAAGTGTAATTCACCCAATTAAAATGTGTAAAGATTTTGAGTTTTGACCCAACGTTATAGTATATAGGCCCAGCTCCAGTCCAAGTTATGGGCCCAATGCAGCGTGAAACCGACGGTCCAGCTTCTGGCTGCGCAGTCCAAGTCAAAATCGCATAATCAGAAAAGGCGGCTTCTGTGCAATGCGAGACGACGACAACTGGCATAATATAATGACTCTGAGCCTGATTTTGACACGTGACCAAATCAGAAATGCTTACTTCCTTTCCTTTTACTCTAATTTTTTTTTTTTTGTCTTCCTGTGTTGCTTCCAGATTTGCAGGAGGAAATGTTTGATTATATGACTCCATGCATCAAATTATTAATTGTCACTTCCCCTCAACCTTTCAACGTCACCGTGTGACTAGGAACAAGTGTTTCAAAATTTTCATGTCCGAAAACTAATTGCGGAAATACTAAAAGTGGCCACCATAGAATGAGAACATCCGTTTATCGATGTTTAGGAGGCGGCTCGCCAATTTCTTTGACGTGTACGAATTGACACGAACCCATCAACGAGGTTTTCGATCTATCATAATAGATGAGAATGATCGAACTTCAAATGAACGAAATCAATAAATATAAAAATTTCATTTTTTAGTCGTGCAACGCCACAGAAACTTAAAATTCTCAAAATAGGTGGTCTAATGACCGTCGCCTGACTTACGATGCAAGAAGTGACAGAGCTACATATAACTCACAAGATTATATTATGTACACACATGTGTTGAATGGAAGTCACGATATACCATTATATCAGCTATTAAACTCATTTATCCAAAGATCAGGTCAATCGTAATTTATAAGCACATTGCTATCTAATTTTATCAATATTTTTCTTAACAAATATACCGCAAGCTGAACGAATTTTCCAAAGCCAAATATGAAATAATTAACCCTTTAGCATAATGAAAATTTCGAATACCAAATATCTAGGGTTTCCATTTTCCTTTTCAAGACGGTCAAATATGAAGAGTGGAAGAGTCTAGAAGGGGGATTATAGGTCACACGGATCTCCCGCTTGTCCCATGTGATTCTTGCGCCACAACAGAATATATTGCTCTGCCTAATTACTAATTAGTAGTGTGATTATAATAAGGTTGGTACTTAACTTAGTAGAAACAAACTAATATATATAGACATAGTATATTAATACTAATAATGCATGGGGTTATATAGTAATTACCATTTCTGCTGCTGCTTTCCTCGAACTGCGGTACTAAGCAAGAAGAGACAGCTGCAACGACACTAATTTCTTGGAGCTCAAGTCGGCCGCCTCTCTCCCCCATTCTTCCTTCCAATTCCAGTTTCCAAGCCTTTCTTTTGACATTTTCTTTTGATATTGTTTTTTTTTTTTTTCATTTGGTAGCGGAATCCAAGTTCTATAACCTCTCTCCCTCATACTCCTCTGTTCTTAGAAGCGTTAAATTTCCATTCCCCCAACTCCAGAATTCTCGGCGCAGCATAAACAAGTCTCTCTCCCTCTCTCTCTCTTTCTACGGAAAAGCTAGGTAAACATTGATCTCCTCGCTCTGTTACCTCTCTTCAGTCGGCTTTTAGTATCGCTGAACGTATTGCGATCTGAATGCATTTGCGTATGATGTTCTTATCACAGTTACAGTCATGAGTTATTGATTTATTTCGCTGATCTGCAATTCGATTATTGTAGACGTATATAGGAGGGCATCATTTCAATCTTCGATTCCATCAAGGTGGGAAGAAGGGTTTTTTTGTCAGTGAGCTGTGGCTGTTCATTTACACATTGTTCAATCGTAGAGTTATTTGCATTTTGTTAAAAAATAGGCCAAAACAGCGGGTATTGAGTCTTTGATTACACCATAGCCAGATGAAGAAAGCGAATCTTGGGTTTTGTTCTGTTGTCAAAAGGGTCCTAGAAAGTGGCTTTCTTGTTTGCATCGGCAAGGTTGTGCACTGTAGTTTTTAGAATGCACCCCAGCTGTTCTACTTATTGTCTAAATGGGCATTTTTTTCCCCCTTAACATGTTTTCCGAAGCATGATAATTCCTCTTATATGTCTGATTGCCCTCTCGTTCTGTTTAACAGGTCCATTAGGCAAAAACTTCAATAGTTGATTTGGTTCTCAGGCAGCCATCAATGGCATTGGCAAGGATTGCCAGAACCGGTCTACGAAGGACAAGAATTTCTTCTTCCTCTCCTGCAAGTTTCTTCACACTCTCAGAGCATTCTCCCGTCACAACAAGCTCCATTCTAAATCCACCTCGGACAGCAACTTCTTACTACCAAACAGTGAACCATGCGAGTTTCTGGAGCAGCAGGGGATTCAGGGGAACCCCAAATCACCAGTTTCCGAGTGCAGAGCGGATTGTGGACGATCATTTCGAGCACAATGAGCCGAAACGCCCTGGCCTAGAGGCGACTAAGCGTGGCGAGAAGCCGAGGGTGGTGGTTCTGGGGACCGGATGGGCTGCTTGTAGGTTCATGAAAGGGCTGGACACCAAAATCTATGATATCGTCTGCATTTCTCCGAGGAATCACATGGTGTTCACTCCTTTGCTGGCTTCGACATGCGTTGGGACGCTGGAATTCAGGTCTGTTGCTGAGCCAGTGAATCGGATTCAACCTGCGTTGGCTTCGGCGCCTGATTCGTACTTCTACTTGGCGTCTTGCCTTGGCATTGACACTGACAAACATGAGGTTAGGATCTGCTCTTTGGTCTCCTTCTGTTCAGTTACCCATATGAACAAACTGAGGAATTGATAGGAAATATAAGTTAAGAGTTTGATCAATCCCAGCGGAACAATGGGACATGCATTTTTGGACATTTTTCAAAGCTAGTGGAATGAATTAACACTTATATGTTATAAGTCTTTTGGTAGCTTGTGGAGGAAGAGGTTTGCATGGAATATGTGGCATCAACCCATCTGATCTATTCATTTTTTAATCTCTTCTCTAGTAGAATGTACTTTAGATTTTAGTTTACTAGAAACAACTTGATTAAGTGGTAAGAGATGTTTGTGCAAATTTGGAACTTCAATAAAGAAATTTGAGATTAATTAGCTATCTAAGAGAAATCATACAAGATTATAATGAGATGTACACATGTTGTATAATTGAGAACATCATGGAGTGATTTAAAGCAAGGCATATGTATCTATGCATGCAATACAATGTTGAGCCGTCTGCCAACGTTAGAGATAGTTAATTATACTCTACTGATGGGTTCTTTTGCTCATTAAGGTGATCTGCGAAACGGTGACCAATGGCGGGCTGCCCAAGGAACCACACCAGTTCAAAGTAGCTTATGACAAGCTTGTGATAGCTGCTGGAGCCGAGCCACTGACTTTCGGGATTAAGGGTGTGAAGGAACATGCATTCTTCCTCAGAGAAGTTAACCATGCTCAGGAAATCAGGAAGAAACTCCTCCTCAACCTCATGCTCTCTGACAGCCCTGGTACACTACTTCATTTAACTATCCTTGTGATCCCAATGATGGGTTGCATAGCTGATAAACCTCAGTTGTAATCGATGTACTCTTGGTTTTGTCTTTGGCAGGAGTACCCGAAGAAGAAAAGAAGCGCCTTCTCCACTGCGTTGTGATTGGCGGAGGCCCTACTGGCGTGGAATTCAGTGGCGAGCTCAGTGACTTCATCGGCAAAGATGTTCGCGAGAGGTTCTCTCATGTCAAGGATGACATCAAAGTCACCCTCATCGAGGTACACACAACCAAAGCTTTAGATTCCATTTTCCAAGTCCCCTCCCATATGAAATTCACAGCTTCCAAATATCTCAATGTTGCACTTCTCGTTGGTACAGGCGAATGAGATCCTATCGTCCTTCGATGTTGGGCTACGACAGTATGCAACGAATCATTTGACAAAGGTAAAATCTTCACATCATCATTACACCAAAATGATGGAAAATCAGTAATAAGATCAAAATATCGGTTTGTCTAGCAACTAACTGACTGATGATGTTCGTTGGTTGGGATCAGTCTGGAGTGAGGCTAATGCGTGGCGTAGTAAAAGAAGTGCACCCGAAGAAGATTGTTCTGAACGACGGAACCGACGTTCCCTATGGTCTCCTTGTTTGGTCCACCGGCGTCGGTCCTTCAGAGTTCGTCAAGGAGCTGGACCTCCCCAAGTCCCCTGGCGGAAGGTACATTCCTCATCCTTAACCCAGCATTTTTGTGAAACTATACGGAAGATTGAACGTAATTAAAGCGAATTTCTATGTAAAAGCATTTTGGTGATCTTCTTTCAATTATATGCTTTTTAAACTTTTAAAGCGTAGATTTTGACTATATTTGTAACTGAAAATCACGATTCTATATAGAAACATTTAGGTGGTAAAAGGATAAGTTTTTAAACTTTAAAACGTGATTTTGACCGCATTACTCTCCCTAATTGCAGAATCGGAGTGGACGGCTGGCTGCGAGTCCCGTCGGCGCCGGACGTTTTCGCTCTAGGCGACTGCGCCGGCTTCCTCGAGGAAACAGGGAGGCCAGTGCTGCCTGCTCTGGCTCAGGTCGCCGAGAGGCAGGGGAAGTACTTGGTCGGGCTCTTCAACGACCGGATCGGGAAACAGAACGGCGGCAAGGCGAATGCCATGGCGGGGAAAGACGACATTCCTCTCGGAGATCCGTTCGTGTACAAGCATATGGGAAGCATGGCGACGGTGGGGAGGTACAAGGCCCTGGTGGATTTGCGGCAGTCCAAGGACGCCAAAGGGCTGTCCATGGCTGGGTTCTTGAGCTGGCTGATTTGGCGCTCTGCTTACCTGACGCGCGTCGTGAGCTGGAGGAACCGGTTCTACGTGGCGGTCAACTGGGCGACGACCTTCGTCTTCGGCAGGGATAACTCCAGGATATGAAAGAGTTTAATTTTATGATCACGATAATGAATGATTCTTTTTGGGTCTGATTGAATCTGTGACAGTTCCATTACTATTATGTTGAATCGATTTTTTTTTTTTGGGTCGAGATTGCAATGTTCTGAGAAGAAGGGGGGAAGATGAAATCAACACACACAAAAAATCAGATTGAACCAGAAATCAAAATTCATTTCTCTCTGTACAAATCCCCTGTTTCCGCCATCAAAACTTGCATTAGCCGGAAGGCGAGAAACTACTTTTCTAGAGACGACCCATCCGAAGCTTTCAAGAAATTCGTCTTTACAACGGAGAATCGACGAAGACTCCGGCTCCTGCCCGGCGGCGGAAGGAGAAAATGGAAGCGAGGGAGTGAGCGAGGCCCGTCACTATCGCCACCTTCACTTGCCCTCGCTTGGGGATCGGCCGGCGCGATAGTCTCCTCCTCGACGAGGATGCATTGCTACCGCCGAAAGAACCTGAGCCTGCCATCTCCGATTTGCGAGTTTAACTTCGCCGCCGGTGAGGGGAGGAAGAAAGGAATTGAGATCGGAGGTGGATTGAGTTTTCGATGTTTTGGAGTGAATTTTGTGAGATCGGATTTGTGTGTTGGGTGTTTATATAGTGGAACTTGGTTGGAATAGGGGCATGGTTTTGGGGTTAATTACGGTGTTCAGCCACTGTTTTTGACCCTCGTTTGGCGAGCTTTGACCCTTTGCAGACTGAGAGTCTGGGACTGTCACTCAGCTCAACTTTGCCTTGTGTTTTTTACTGGATAAATAATGACTCAATCATAATACTTATCTATTTATTAGTTCATATTTATCCCACGTTTTGAATTTATAGTAAATCCCCCAAATTTTTGGGTTCCTCAAAATGTTTAGCATATTTTGGGAATTTTTGTTTTAAAATGTTTTCTTTTACGTAGGAGAAACAATTGCAAATTGTCGTTGCCACTTAAGTGATGTTACAAGCTTGATTAATTTTAGAGTAGTTGGTTCGAGAATGTCCAAATATAAGGGTCGGGGGACTTTTGAAAGACAAGCCAAAGCTTGCAGGTCTGACGAGAACTGGTAAACACTAAACACCTTATACCCTGTTTACTAACCATTCCCATTCCCATTTTGTCATTCCATTTAATTTATTTAGAAATGAAAACAGAAAAAAGTGTTTACTTTCCATTCCCATTCAATGAGCTTTTATTTGGGGAATCAAATAGTGCTGAACAGTAGCAACTTTTGGGAAACACAATATTTTGGTTTCAGGAATGGGAAACGGACGGATTTCTCTCTTCTTTCTCATTAATGAGACCCATGTATCGAATCCCCCAACCACCCAAAAATCAATTTATTACCTCTTCTACCATTTGACAGACAAATCAATGAATCATCCCAAAGACCCCCAAACCCTATTATCCCAAACCCAACCCTTTCCCCTTCTTCTCATCTGCTGCCCGCCGCCTCACTTCTCCTCCACTCTCCCCTGCCTCTTATCTCCTCCACTCTCCCCTGCCTTGCTTCCGTTGCCGCCGAGGACTCCCCTGCCGCCGCCAGCCCGGACTCCCCTGATCGTCGTCGACCCGCCGAGGCCTCCCCTGCTCGGCGTCTGCCCTCGTTGCAGTCAACCCCCGCTCGCCGTCGACCCGGCCTTCAACCCCCGCTCGCCGTCGACCCGGCCTTCCCCGCTCTCTAAATTATCAGTTTGTAATAACTGTATCTGAACAAGTTTCCATTTCCAGGTTTCAGTTTCAGAACTCTCTAAATTCTCAGCTAAACAAGTTTTCTTCAGGTTTTGTTTTCCAGAAAATGACAGATTCCTTTTCTTCGGATTCCCTTTTCTGTTTTCCAGAAATCAAAAAACAGAATGATTACTAAACGGGGCATTATCTTTTCATCATGCTATCAAAAGTCTCATGCTCCCAACATACTATTTTGAGATAGTCAGATAGATGTATCCTGCTAAATATAATGCGTGTATTTCAAATACATGGTGTATTCCTTACAAATAAAAATTGATGTGTACACACCACTCAGAGTAAATCAGAACGAATCGTATCGCTTCAAAATTATTATTTTTTATAACGACTAAAAATGATAACTTCGACGAAACATCAATCAAGAGTTAAATCTATCAACGATGCAAGGAACAAGACGCCATAATTTTTTTTTTATTATTATTATTTACTCTATCAAATACCCCATTTCCTCCCACGAGCAATAATCTAACAATTCTTTGGTGGGTTAAGGTTTCAACAGAAAATTCACGTGCGTGAATTGGCGGCCCATGACCATCAGAATCAAACCGCAGCCTAGATGTCGTTAACCCATCTGTGGGACCTTGTTTTGTTGGTGTTTTCTTTTCCTTTTAAGTTCTTTACTCGATAATAACTTAATAAGTATTAAGAACCAACTATCTCTTTTCAATTTTCATGCAGTTGATCAAGTTAGATCAATGTGCCTAATTTCTATCTAAAGCAAGCATTCGATATAGACTATTATAGTTCTAAATTCTAATATGACCTAATAGAGATCTCACATGAAAAAATCACATGGGGTCAATTGAGGGGAAGAAGTTAAATTAGGTAAAACCAAAATAAGATACATTGCTACAATACATACCCTTTGTTTACAATTATTCGTCACTCGTGGTCTTCCCGCTCTTCTTTGTTCCCTCTCAATACCCCTATGATATGTCAGTTCATTAAAAGAGAACGAAAAATACCAGAGAGCCTGCAGAAACTCGAACCCAACACTTCTTCCTCACATGCTCGTATGTAACTGAAAATACTTTAAATTTTTTTGTAATCTCTATCATAATTATTGATGTCCAATATGCACATATCCATTGCACTGAGACACTTAACTTTTCTCTCTTTTACCACTTAGTCACTTTCAGTAGTGGGGAGGATGTGATTGTTTGCCTTAATCAGTTAGTGCATTGTATTATCCACCCACCTTCTTTCTCCTGAGCCAACCCAAATCTTTTGCAATTAACGATCTAATCTAGTAGTTATCATTAAATTTCCCCACCAGTGGCATTAGATTGGCAGTCTCTTTGACAGGCACCCATATCTCAAATCATTTCCCCTTTCTTTTTGGGGTTGCTTCTTGCTTGCTTCTTCTGGCTTGTCTTTAGTTTTATTATGGGATGTACAGAGATGATAGATCCCACTCTCTTTTTGTTGATGTGTCCACTCGGTTTGTTATTTGGGAAAATAATGAGCTTTTTTATTATTTGCTAACCGAGTTAAGTCGTTTTCAATCTAAAACAATGTATAGAGAGGTTAATGAACAAAATATATGTTGATTGGGTACTACTAAAGAGATTCAAATCTGGAACCTTCAGGTTCAATGCTAGTGGTATTACCATTAGATCAATTCATTGTTCGTAATGTGGTTGCAGCTGTTTTGGTGGGATGCATGCATTCTCAAATAGGCAATGTCTTAGACTCTTACTTGGCGCTTCTACGTGGGGTTCGAAGACTCGTTCACTCAACTAATTTAGGTATGAGGGTGTTTGGTGCAACGTGCATTTATCCAATGACTTCTTGGTATTTCGTAGTAGAGGAATGATTAATCGTTATGATAGAAATTGAATATGATATCTTCATTAGGATGTTAAATATAGAACATTTTACTTTGCAATACTTCATTATTGATTTACTATCCAAGATTTTAAGAGTACAAGAGTATATTTAAAAGAACACCCAACAAAAGGGTGAATTTGTATATGAAGTCTCCCTTAGATGAGTCCAACACGTTAACTACTCGAGCTACAAACGTACTTATACCGAATAATTAAGATTTTATTAAAGTGAGCATTATTTTGAGAAGTATTTTTCTTCTTAGTTTTATTTTTATTCATGAAATTTTAGATTTTATCGGTACCATGGGAATTTGAGCACTTATTTGTCACTTTCGTCTGTGTATCTACTGTACCTAGAGGTGGCAATTGGATCGGATTTGTAGATTCGTGGATTGGATTGGTGGATCCATGAATCAAATGGATTGGATCCAATGGATTGGTGGATTCATGGATTGGATCAAATGGATTGGTGGATTGATCCATGAATCCAAATGACATCCAAGGCTTGGACCAAAATGTAAAATTTGAAAAGTTTTGGTACTAAAAATGTCATAATGAAAAATTTTAGGTACCAAAATGTATAATATAAAAAATATAGGTACCAAATCGTAATTTGCCATTTGGATCCATGGATGGATCCATGGATGGATCCATGGATGGATCCATGAATCCACCAATCCAATTGGATTTGGATCAAATGGATTAGATTAGGTAGATAATTTGATGGATGGATTGAATTGAATTCATGGATTTGATCCTAATTGTCACCTCTAACGGTACCCTTAAATGGGTTTCAACTAAATAAACTTTCAACCTATACCAAGGATGTGAGGAACCCAATCTGCTGGGTTTGTTCAAAAAACGGCCCAATATGCAACAATAATTCGGGTCAGAAGTAGTATAGCCAACCCAAATGACCAGTTTTCTTTTGGGCTTACGTCGGCCCAACAAAGCAAAAGCCTTAAAAAAAATATAGTCTGTCAGACAACCACATGACCATCCAGGCCGCCGCAGCTGCCAAGAACGATCATCTACAGCTTCGACGAATCCAAAGATCATCTTAACCGTTAATCACGCTCTGATCATGTGGCCACAACTCATCCACCAGACTTGGGAACCTGTCTCCTTAGTGCTAAAGGATACAGAGATACGAGCCTATAGAACAGATCCTGTTCAAGTAAGGTCGTGTCAACTTCACTCCCGCTTCAGCATTATAACGAACAGCAAGTCGGCCAAAACGAACAATGTGGTATAAGTGAAGAAACTATCAGCTTCCAACATAACAAAGTCGTGGGCCTCGCCCGGCCCAATGAACTCGAAAACAGGACCTGCAGCTCGCATGTTCGTTCTATTAACATTCAGAAGTCTAATGCCGCCGGCGGCAACGATCGCACCGTCGTCGAGCCTTTGCAAGTAGAGAGACCACCTGAGAAAGTCCAGCGGCCGGCCGCCGGCATCATCATGTCTTTTAAGCCGTTTCCCTAAAGGATAAATGTCAGCTGGTCTTTAGCCAATGAAAAAACACGAAAATAGCAGAAAATCATATGCTGCTGGAGTGAAGAAGCTCTTTCAGTTCTCGTTTGTTGATGAAGTTCCAGCAGCAGGAACCATGTTATGAGTTAAACTGGGCCGGAAGAGGCCCAATTGACTTTAGCGTATCGAATGCACAGATGGTTAGGCAGCTTTCTCCATTCTACTATTCTACCACATCACTTGTTTCTTCCAACTCGCTTCTCTTTATAGTGCTCAAACGAAAGTCCATTCATCACGACCTTACTTGAACAGGATCCCAAGCTTGGTGGATGAATTGTGGCCACATGATCAGAGCGTGATTAATGGTTGAAATGATCTTTGGATTCTTCGACGCCGTAGATGATCGTTCAATTCAGTCTGATTTGGAAAAAATGGTCTTTCAGCCATTATGACTTCAACCCAACAAGTGTTTACTCTTCAGATTCTTCGACGCCGTAGATGATCGTTCAATTCAGTCTGATTTGGAAAAAATGGTCTTTCAGCCATTATGACTTCAACCCAACAAGTGTTTACTCTTCATTTGTATTTTGGGTGAATTACACGATTGGTCACCCAAATTACATAAATATTTCACGTTTGCCACCCGAATTACAAACCTTGCTTATTGGTCACTCACTTTAAGAAATATTTCACCGTAACCACTGGACGTCAGCTTCCGTCAGACTCCGTTAACGGCGTCAGATTTTTGATGACGTGGCAAACGGAAACTCTGACTGGGCTGACAGAAAGGCTGACATGGAATGGGCAGGGAAAAACAAATCATTTCCCCCATTTTCTCTGTCATTTTGAATGGGATTGTTGTACATATTTATTTGCTTTTCCTCCAAAAGACTATTCCCTTCTCCATTTTCCTTCTGCCTGCTTTTCTATCTTCTTCTGGTTTTAATTTTCCTTTAGCCAAACCGAAATGGAAGAAAGACCCAGCATCCTTGTAGAGTGGTTCTTCATGCGATGGGAATTTTGCTCTGTATTCAGAAAATGCTCTATGTGTCTCCTTCAAAGCCCTTCTATACACTTCCAAAAGATCTCCCAGCACCATAATGCAAGGAATTGCCAGGGTTAGGCTCTATATCAATCCTAGATGCTGCAAGAAATTCCCCCGAAGAGAGGTCAGCATGAAGCTGCTGCATATCTGAAATGAGGTGAGCTTGTGCTAATTCCATAGATCCAAGAAGATTCTTAGAAGCTAAACTACCCAATGCATCATGCTCTTGGGGTGCACGGTAGAAATCCATTTCTTCAACCGACTCCTCATCATCGACCTCTTCCCCTTGCTCTGATTCTTCCATTGCATCATCATCTACTTCCACTTCTAGCTTCCTCTCTGCTTCACATTCCATGCCATCTTCAGCTTTCACAAGGCTATAAAATCAATCTCCTTCCGAGAAGAAGCTTCTTCTGCTTCCTTCAACATATTTTCTTTCTGGGATTTAATCAAACACTGTAAGGGCAAGGCATAGTAACAGTTACCTAGATTCGGAGTAGCAGACAACTCCTTCTCAACCATATACCAAATCAACCCAACCCAATACAATCTCTCAAAGTTGCCATCTTTAATCATTCTAGTCATATTGTGAATCTCCAACGGCATCAACCACGTATCGTCGTCGTGCAACAGCATCCAAGTCGAGACCAATTCGTCGACGAACGCAATCGCTTCTTCGCTCTCTTTCGCCTCCCCGGCGGAAGTCTCCGACGACGAAACCTTGTCCTTCTTGATCGGCAGCTTGAGCGCGCGAGCCAAATTGGGACGGCTGACCTTGAGAGCCAAAGTCGAGATCTTTCGCGGGCTTGAATGGAATGGGTTTGAGGTTTTCATTGAGAGCCTCGAGCTTCTTCTGAATCTTCTTCAACCTAGACGCAATTAGTCGTTTGCTCTTTTTCCCCTTCAAACCGCCGCCGCCGCCGACTATTCGACGGGTAGAGGAGGCCGATGTGGGCGAGAACGAAATCATGAGCGTTGAGCTTGTTAGAGCTTCTTGATTTGAATCGCTGTCTTGTGAGTCGGGGACATCATTCAGGGTCAGGGTTTCAGAGGATTGGGGCAGACGGATTCTCGGCAGAATGTTGAGGTGGTGGGTTCTCCTCCGATTGCTGCACCGGGGGGGGTTTTCATCCTTGCACGCTCTGCTGGAGTGAAAAGAAAGGGGGGAAGAAGAAACGCAGGACAAGAGGAAAGAAGAAGGGGAATAAGCTTCTTCAAAGTAAAAACAATTAATTAAAACAAAGTAAAAAATAAAAAATAATGGGCTCCGTCCTTTTCCGGGTCAGGTGCTTTGCTGGCTCGGGTATTCAGACTGACTCAGCCTTTTTGTCGGCTCAGTCAGAGTTTCCGTTTGCCACGTCATCAAAAATCTGACGCCGTTAACGGAGTCTGACGTCCAGTGGTTATGGTGAAATGTTTCGTAAAGTGAGTGACCAATAAGCAAGGTTTGTAATTCGGGTGGCAAATGTGAAATATTTATATAATTTGGGTGACCAATCGTGTAATTCACCCTTTGGATTTTATGAGACTAGTTGAACCAATTCATCACGAGTTTATATTTCCAAATCTTACTCATGAAGATAAAACATAATTCATTATTAGTCGCTTACTACCGCCAATTAGTGAAGCAACGAAACCACAAACAACCCTCTAACCTCGAAAGCATGCTCAAGGAAATGAGCGGACAGAAACTAAAAAGGTCAAAGGAACTGTGATCTTCTCAACTGCCATGGCCGGCCTATGGATCGAATTAGAGCCAGGAAACGAGTATCCTTTGACTTGTGAGCATCCCATTTATTACAAATGCCACCCAAAGGGGACTAATTATGCCAAGTTGCAAAGTCGGTAATATCTCGAACCTTTTTTTAGGATGCATATCAAAGTCATTTTCTCGAGAGGGCACCCTTCTTACAGTGCTTTACACCGAGTACGTTTTGACAAGTACTCGTTCATTTCATCCTGAAATACGTATTGTCAGTTAATGTCGATTTCTCTTACTTATGAATCATCTTTCACATCGTTTGTTGATATGAGATTCGCCTAAAGTGGTATAATATGTTTGATAAGGGGGACACCGTTGGCTGTACTTTGGTGGATAGATGTACAAAAGTCAAGTAGACAACAGCCTGCAATTGGGCAGGTTGGCCTTCTTATCTTTAATTGTCCTTTGCTGCTTCTTCTTGCTACTTCCTTATGATAATTTTTGTCAGACCTAAGTTGAGAGATAAACGATTGGGTCGGAAGTCGATCTCTGGAGCGATTTGATTAATAGTCGGATCGGATTAAAGTGTGTTTGTTGATAGCTGAAATAGAACTTAAGAGGTTGATGATTGTTTAGATATTCGATTGCCGATTCAATGGTATTTTTAATTTGTTTCCTTTGATTCCCATATGGTATAGCATGTGATTTTGATAGTTAATGTTGGTTTTTGGTGGTCATTCGAGTTAGACTCCCGGTCCTGAATGATCATGGTCTGACCGATTCAATCGATCAGATCGAGCCGAGTTTGATAAAGCTGCTTTAGATACCTTGAAACAAAAAGGGTATCCTTGCAGGAAAATTGAAGTGGAGGAACATATAATATTTTCTTCGATCATGGTCCTTTTGCTTCACTTTATTAGCTATTTTCTCCACCTGTTCCTCAAAAAACATGGTAGGAGATATAGCGCGATGATCATGGGATGATAGTATGATACCACGATAACGGGCTAACCCTAGACAATTGAAAATAATGACGTAGAAGTGACACCTCAAATTAAACACCGTTCTAGTAGCCATTTCAGGAGACTTACGAGGGTGTGACGTGATGACTAATCCTCTCGTATTTTAGTTATAAGATTGGAGATTTTATCATTGATAATTAGAATTATCGTGCATCGTCACTTTGTAACCAATAGTTAATCGGCTCATTTGAATACATGTAATTAACGAGAATTTTTTTCTGTTGTTATCGTCGACGAAAAAATGGAGTATGGATAGCTATAGAAAGCTCATCATAGTAGTAAACTCATAATTAATGAGAGGCTATGGAGTTAATGTTAGAGAGGTAGGTCTCTAACCTGTACACCAAACTACATGACAGGTGCTATCTATTATGTATGACTTTGGATGATTATTGTATATTGTGCTTAAAATGTTTAATCCTCAAGGAAAGACTACTTGTGGGATTGGGAAGTTTGGTTGCATTTACACCTGTGCTTTTAATGAGACAGCCAAACTTAAAAAAAAAATCAATTGTTAATTAATGAATATGGCTGGTACTTTAGTGGGCACTGATCCCAGCTAGCTAGTTTCTGTGTTTCTCTTTAATGCATGCCCTAGGTGATTAGGACAAATGTCTCTTTCTGTAGTTTCTAATACACAAAGATATTGTTTGTTGTGTGATTGGGCACTTGCTAGTTATTGGTATTCCACATGCAAAATATCACCACCGCCCCACCAATAAAATTCACATTCAATTTTGTTTACAATTTACCTTTTAACACTTGTTGGCTTTGTTATTGTAAGTTCAATTCGAATTGACTACCATCAAGACTCAAGTTTATGGTTGAGTAGGCAAAAGAAGGTGTTATAAACGCGCTGCTACGGATCGGGAAATCGCCTGAATCGACAAAGCACGAATACGAAAGCGAGAATCGAAAACACGACACACGATTTACGTAGTTCACTAACACGATGTGTGTTAGCTACGTCCACGGGCGAGAGAGAGCCAGTTTTACTATATCGAGGAGATTACAGATTACAGAGGAGTATGAGAAGTATTTATAGTACTTCTCCATATGGGTCTAAACCTAATCCAATCTGCCAAAGGAAACGGTTACCAGTCGTAGCGGCTGATAGTCCGATTCAAGTCATATCAACAGAAGGAGATGTTTCTAGTTTAACCTAGATCACGAATTCAAAAATTAAATATTTGCATAGTAAAATCGAACCACTGGTTGGTTATCGGAGCAAGATTCCACCCCGACAAATATTTAAGTATTACAACAAGACTCTATCATTACAATGAACAAAAAAAAACGTTCATTCGAACAACATAAATTAAAACGATTGATCGATTAGTGAGTACCTTATAAGTGTTGGATCAGAATTGTACCACTAGAAATGTTTTAAGTACTAAAGAAAGACTTTACTACCATTTTAACCAGAGTGAATATCATCAACATACACCTTTACATATAACCATCCATGTCATTAGTTTATCGCTCCAAAAATACAGGCATAGCAAATCCATGTTGATCTGTGTATTGTGCCTTCAATTCAGTCGACCTCCAAATCAAGAGGCCGACCATTTGATTCTCCGATCATCATCGTCAATATACGTCACACTATAAAGCCAAACACTCTTGTTGAGGTAGGGGGTTTTTTTCCTTTGAATTCGGTCTACCAGTGAAAACAAGCGATCGACCGTTGTTTTCCTTCGTATCGATCGGTAGAGTTGTCTTGTGTGTCATATATGTCAACCACTTTCATAAAATGTGTTTTTTTTCCCACTTGAAAGCATCATAGCCATACAAAATATTAAATTCCTTTCACTTTCATCCATTTATCGTCCAATCTAGCTACCGCCGATTGCACTGAACAACCTCAAATTGAAATCCTTTTGAATCGAAACCTCAAATTTAACCTAACCTCGTTGTATTAATGCCAGGGTGAAATGAAATCCCCAGAATTATTAATCCAACTTTTTGGTCCCCCAAACGTTTCTACTACAATATGGCAAACTAGAAGGACCAGCAACAAACTCCTTTTTTTCCTTTCCATCTCAACGGGCTGCATGTCCTATAAAAACGTCTCATGCATGTCCTGGTAATGTACACGCAACGTATCCTCGACCATTTTAAAAGAAAGTGCAACCTTGGCGTACGCAATTCCAATTGAGATGGAGTTATTATATATTGTTCGTTGCAACTCTCTGTAATATATAACCAACAAAACCTGAAACTTATATATATACAAGTGATAGGCTAAGCATTATATTTGTCAATATGGAATAATCGAGTTTAATGAAAAGAAAAGGGTATACTAATTAAGAAATTAACGGTGGATTGTTTCGGTTCAATAACAAAAATACATAGAAACAACGGGGAGACGTGTTTATGATCGAAAAAATCATTGAACCTCGTAAATAACTAAAGTCGAGTTGAAAGCATGCAGCTGTAACGAAACAAAAAATCGACCTTTCTGCAGCTATCTCACTTGTTATTTTAACAACTGTTTGTAACCTTTTTCGGTCCTCTCGTACCGACTCTCTAGTTTACACGACTCTGATATTCTTTTTTCTATCCGACCAAAAGAAACATGAATTTAACTTCCCCCCCCTAAATTATGCATATGGATCCTCTTTGAGTCTTCTTTCTCCTCCTCCTAATAACACCTTTGAACTATTCTTCAAAATGTGACCCAAAAGGGTATAGTGGAGAGTGGAGACCAAAGTGCCATAATTGCACTCTCAACCTACCCTACTAAACACATTCATGAGACACCATCCTCAACTGTCCTCCACCCCTACTCTCCCAATCAATGCTTCTTCTCCCTCCCCTTCTCCTCCCCAAAAACTGAAAAACCCTATTATATATCCCTCCATTTCCTCCCCTTCTCTCTCTCCATCTCTTCAAAGTCCCACACCAATAAAAAAAAAAAAAAAACAATGAAGACCCAAAAGATCTTCTCCTGCTTCTTCCTCCTCCTCCTCTCCATCCTCATCATCATCACCACACTCTCCGCCGCAGCCCGGCCCGAACCCGAGTCCAGCAACGACGGAGGCGGCGGGTTCTTCGGGCCGGGGACGGGGATCCCGGAGTTCGGGAAAGGGTACTGGGGAAACGGGCCGGTTATCGGAGGCGGGTACGGGTCCGGGTTCGGGGGCCCAAAAGGCGGGTACTCGAAGAGCGGCACGTACAGGCCGTCCGTGGTCTGCAAGGAGAAAGGCCCCTGTCTCAACAAGAAGCTCCGCTGCCCGGCCAAGTGCTTCTCCGCCTACAGCCGCTCCGGGAAAGGGTACGGCGGCGGAGGCGGCGGCGGAGGGTGCACCATGGACTGCAAGAAGAAGTGCGTGGCTTACTGTTGAGTGAAAGATGGCCGCCGCAGACGGGGGAAGGATCAGGTGCGGGGATGACTACTTGCTTGTTGTAGTGCTACACTTCTATATAATATAAGTATATAGAGAGAGAGAGAGGTCTCGTTATAATACGTATGTATGTTTAAACAATGACGATCGAGCGGTTTTCCATGTTTGCTTTGTACTACTAGTACTTTGGATGGTGATGTAATGATATGTGTATTTTATATAAGCCGATCGTATTATGTTATAGTCTCGTAGACATGCATTATAATTAAACGATCGTGTTATGTTACTAGTACTTTTGAGTGCACAACTCGTTTCCAGTCATTAGACAACTAAAACCGCTAGTTGATTGGATCGTGCATTAATCGCATCTCATTGTCGAACAATTAGAAAATAGACGTCTCAGAAGCGAGAACTCGGGTGCTTTGTATTCTTAATATAGTTCTATATCGATTTTATTACTTGTTATTGCATCTCTGTTGATATCTTCTGGTAGTCTAGTTCAAATTATGGAGTGTTATCGGACTTCACTTCGCAAAATCTGGCTTTTGGTAGGTTGATTCTCTCGCAGATGGTTGCAATAAATTTATGGATATGACGAAATGACCATTTCTGGACTTTTGGTAGATTGATTCTCTTCACGAAAGCCGACTTTCTGGTTATCGCACTGATAGGCTAAAAGCATTCAACAATGCGAAAAAAAGACCCAACACAAAGACGACGCCATAGCTAGAGTAACTTCACAAGGACTAGCATTTCACGGACAACGAAAGAGAAAACTGAAGGACTGTTAATACGAACCGAGAGCAAGCTAACGAATTAACATATGAATCTCTTAAGCTAGAGGGAGAGCAACAAGAACAATGCAACATGATCCAAAATTCCGCTGGAGAATATCAAGGTACAAGTAGCAAGGAAATCAACTTTCACTCGGAAGGAAACTAATACTAGAGCAAGAAAATAAATCGATCGATTTTTTCGGTAAATATACAAGGCGGGAAAAACAATCCAACGAGAAATAGAATTGCAAAGGGTAATGAAAACTTTGTTGTCTGTTAAGCAAAGAGACTGATTCTCGGATAAAAGCACGGCAGGGGAAGCAAATCACTCTCTATAAAGGAAACATGTACGTAGAAGCTATGCGCATATACAACCCTAGATCCAAATGGCAGTCTTAACCTGTTCATTCCTGAAAGCGTCCGGTAATCGTATCATATTGCTGCCCTCACTGCTCCTCTTGCAGCCTCATGCCTGACCTCTGCTGCTTTACCGCTTCCACGGAAGTACATGTATACTTGCTGTACGTGGTTTTGATAAAGGCAAATGTGTTAAAAGACTTGACTAATTCAAAGGTGCCAGCCGTGGTGTTGGCAACGGAATTGAAATGGGGAGTGGAGGAACAAGAAAGAACCTGGAGAACCCAGATGCTGAGAATGATTTCGACACAGAAGAGGCCGAACCCGACGAAGTAGAAGATCTGTAGTGGTACCAAAATAATGGTTAATATGGATAAGAAAAGCAGAGAAGGGAGAAATAGAGAGAACAATTCGGGTCATGGAACTTACTCCAACCAGAAGGCTATCTCCTATAACGTCAATTGCAGCCAGAACACCACTGTTCCAGAAATATGGGATAAGAAAAGAGAAGAAAGATCATCAGTGCAAATTGGGGGAATTCGTCTTCAAAGCTAGGATCATACAAGCAGCAATAAAGTTATGCTTAGAAGGGTAAGTATGTTGGACACATACGTGAGTGATTTTCCTTTAAAAAAGATTGGGGGAGCAACCGCTGCAACAATGCAGAAGCCGATATGGATCTGCAGGACAGGAATGAAAAACCAGAAGTCAAACATTTGATTCTGGCAGGAAATGATATAACACGTTGAGATGAATGGTCACAAGTTATTACCAGATAGAAGAAGAAAAACCACCCGAACTTCAAAGCACTATCAGTCCTGCAAGATGGTTGTCCAAATACAGACTTCATTAAAAGAATTCAATGGCACACTAACAAGCACAATCAGTGACATGGGGATTTCATTAAACACCGGCATATTGACCAGAATCTGGGAATTACTTACCGAAATGCCCGGTACAGTGGGCGGTACCACAAGAAATAACCTCCTGGAACTCCTGAAATGAAGTAGATAACGGCAAGAAACCATATCTTCACTCCTGCATAGCAAATAAAAATGTTAAGAATAGGAACTAGAAAACAACACATAGCATAAATAAAAGATGCTCCAAGATCAAGAACGGTAACCTTCATGCTTGATCCATGCTGTTGTTACTGCAATTACATTCCACAGAAGGCAGAGAGCCAATCCTGCAAACACACGAACATGGTTATAGATGATGGATGTTACAAAATCGAAGGAAGGGAAAAGGTAAAATGGCCACCTCGTTCAAAATAGACACATAAGCCAGATGAAACTAGCTTATGCTCGAGAGAGAAAAAAAAGGCACTTTGTGTGCAAAACCGAACCAAGAATCTACAGACCTTAGAAGAATGAACCTATATTCTTTTCATGAATTATAAAAAAGCGAGAATACATGAAAATGAAAGAATCATACCTAAGAACGTTGAAAAAGCAACATACTGAATCCTTTGAAGATGAATTGGTATCTCATTTGATATATCATGGTGGATAATTGGGAAAAAAGGTGGCCAATTTTTCTCCTCCAGTTGTATTCCAGCTGAAAAAGAATGCAAAATATCAACCAAACCTTAGTAAGTACTGAACGTAACAATAATAATTCACAAGAGCAAAATGAAGAAACCTAAACATTCATAACCCAATACAAGAATGATAGGATATATGCATGAAAATATTACATGAATTCCCTGGATTGAAATATCACATTTGAAATGATAAGACACCACAAAAAGGAAACATGTTACCTCTGGCCGCTGCTTCTTCCCGTCTTTTGATATCCTGCATAATAATAAGAACACAGAGTCAATCAACGGTACAGAGGGCTAAGGGAGAAGCCTTTCCGATAGCTCTTATATAGTTATGAAGATTGGTCCAATCATTGTATCTCTGCATTCAACTATGCATACCTGTTCCCTCCTGCGAAGTTCAGACTCCTTGGCTTGCAGTTCCCTCTCTTTCTTTTTCAAGTCCTGCAGCAAAAAAACTTAAACAGTAAGGACCAGAAAACAGCACTGGCCAGTTTATAAAATGGCTTTACAAACCCAATGAAAATATCCAGCATACCGTAGCTGAATCAATAGGAATGTCAACTGTTGCACCATGATTATAGCCGCCAAAACCTGCGGGCTCGGGAGGTAGCGGCGAAAGCCTTGAGTTTGCAGGCTTCTGGAAAGTAAAATGATATCAGCAAACTTGTAAGAGATCATTTAGGGAATCGCTGGAGTAGAAATTCAAGAAAATAAGACGAAATCTAAGAAACAACAGACACATTTGAAGTCACCACTACCTATCTTTATTTAATCGCACGCATTATGTTAAGAAGAGCACAAGGAAGTACTATGTTTTCTCACCCTAAAATCACTTCGAGATTTATGCTTCCTGAGGTGTAAAAGACACCTCTACCATACTCGGGTTTCTCTGGTCCACTTTTATCACACCTACCTACTGGTAATAATTTTCCGTTTAAGAAACAGAAGAATTTTATAAGGAAGAACACACCTCAACACCAAGCATATAGGGGTCGTTTGCTTGTTGGATTTGAAAAATGAAGGTTTTGTGCAACAAAAACCTTGGGATTCATGAGGGATTTATTGTATTATGGATTTGAATAGTCTAGTGTTTGCATGATAGAATTGATAATGGATTTGTCACATAAGCAACTAACAACCATCATGGATTTACAAATCCCAAACAAATATGTGGGATTTACAAATCCGTGGGGTCCACGGATTTGGTCCCAAATTAAAGACCAAATCCGTGGACCCCACGAATTTGCCACCCATCAACAAATAATGGACTTGTGTTAAATCCATCAAACTTGGGATTTAGGTACCAAATCCATGACCCAAATCCAACAAGCAAACGACCCCATAAAGAATTCAAAACGAGACTACGACTAAATGCTTGCAGCAACAATTGCCTCGTCCTATTTATCACCTACTACACTACATCTGCCAAATCCAGGCCAACATGACACAATTCGGATCACAAACACTACAGTTGAACCTACCACTAGTTAAGTTCAATTGGCCCAATCCTCAGTCTAGTCTAGCATATCCATCGAACCTACACCAACATGACAACATTGGAACACAAATACTACAGGAGAAGGTGCTACGACCATTAAGTTAGCTATTAAAAACTGAGCAATGAAATTGGATATCGTTATCAAGACTTCCAAATGGTGAGATTACACAGAGAACAACACCATCACTTTCCCCCACTCTGGTTCATTTCAGCTTCACAATTCATTTTTGCCTCAAACAGCGAAACTGCAAATCCAGATGATCACCTCCTCCTTCCCCTTACTCTCCCAAATTGTCTCCTGACCAGAAAACCTAACAGTTCCACCTAAATAGATCCAGAAAGTAGAACACATTCTCAAACCAGACGATGGAAATATATTCTCCCACCAGAGGCGGACAGAATCCGCGTACATTTCCCAGAACAGCTAGTCGCACACGCCCGATCGCAGATCGGGAAAACCAAAAGCCTAAATCCACCAACGAATCCGAGATCTAAAAACCGTCCAACGAAGAGCTGCACAGTGAACTATCAGCTACGAAGACTTCCAATTCCAAGTCAAATCGGAACGAGACGCCAGTACGACTTCGAGATTCAGCCGCTAAACGAACCAGATTCAACCAAAACCAAGACCGCGCATCGACCATAACAACTAGGCAGAAGTCAAACTACCAAAAGCACACAAACACCGCTAAAACCCTAGGATAACGTCCCTCACGATCCGCATCAGTTCAGAAACCGACGAATCTCCCGCCACAGCGCGGAAGAAGTACCAGCGATTTGGACTGTACGGCAAAACAGAATTCGAGCACCGGCATAGGGAGTGAGAGAGAGGAACTTACTGAGAACGGATTCACCTCCTCTTCCTCGAAGGGATTGGGGTCAAATCGTCCGGCCATGGCGCGAACGGAAGCGAGATGCGGCGAAGAAGAGAGAGAGAAACTTAGGAACGAAGCCAAGAGAATTTGAGTTTTTCGAAATGGAGGCGGAGCAGACTAAAACGAGAGCAGAGAGGTAGAAATTGGATTCAATTTCAAAGTAAATGAAAGTTCTTTTGGGTCAGAGAAATTCTAGAGAGAAGAATGCGTTGTACGATTACTCGTTCGTCGTTAGTTAGTCGTCACGGGGCCGGGCTAGAGAGAGAGAGAATTGGTTTTCTCGGACTTTTGTTTTGGCCAGCCCACTCGGTGGGAAACCCGGAAAAAGGAGACAAAAATAAAAGGGATATGGATTGAGAAATTTCAAGAGGAAACGGCGGGTTGAGTGTGACTAAAATTTACCATTTTACAGCGGAAATTTACATCTTCTAGAGATTTTAGTGCATAATTTAACCTTTTTGGTGGATGAGCGATTAGTTCAGTATTTCTATAATTTCTAAAGTGACTACATAAAAATGGAAAATTAGGTTGGAATCACAATTGTTTAGATGATTTCAATCAATAAAAAAAGTCTATACAAATTAGAATCTCATACATAATGTACATGTTAAAATATAGGTAAAATTTTGTATAAATTCGTAATTAGAATTGTTGGTAGCACTTCCTCCCAATTTAGCAAGAGTCTCTTAGACTCTACATAAGAGACTCTACATTCATGAAAAACAGAATGACGTGAATCTACTTTGGAAGTTATTTTTGTAGTTCATCATCATCGGAGGACGGAGAGAGACGCAACCAGTGCTAGAAGGAACTTCTAGAGATGGCAAAACCCAAATTGAAGAAAGGAGTTGAAGGAACATTGCCTGATGTCAATTAATCTTCAATTGTGCACTTAAAATTAAGGGACTGTTTATCTTCCATATGCTACGGGCTTCGATAGTCAGTGTAACTTTTGTTTCGTTCCAGATAAAATAAGTTTTTTATGCTATTTGGTGCTCTTCTAATATTAAATCTGATCCTTTCTAAGACAATTATGTAGTGTTTTCTACTAAACTAAGAATACACATTGACTTTCTCGCAATATCAATTCGCAATATCAATTTCCGACGTGCATATTACATTTATGTTCGTGCATATTATATTTATGTTTCGAGTGTCCTACATAAATTTGTACATAAATTTGAACTACAATTGTGAGGCACTAAATTCTTTTTTCTTGGGATAGAAAAAAAGAGGGGTGAACCTCAAACACTTGTTTTCTTATCCTAAAACATGTCCTCAAATGATGAGAAATCCTAAAACATGTCCTCAAATGATGAGAAAACGTAATAGGAAGATTCACCAACGAGATAAAAAAAATAAATATATGTGTCTTTCCTCTTAGGCAAAATGAAGCCCTTCACTATATATATAAGAGGTGATTCCTCGGTATTAATGTTTCCAATCGATGTGGTATCTAAACAAAACATGCATACATGTTGTTCAACAATCTTTATTTTATGTCATGATGGGTAGACTAAATATGTTGAGCTCAATCCTAATGATTGGAAGTTTGTCATGTCTTTACTCTAATTAGTACCTTTCTTGATTAATTATCGAGCCAATGAACAACCTTGTAGTGAAATACATTAGCTCATGAATGAGCAATGATGTAATAATAGAATGAGTAATTGAGTTTAGTTGGACAAAAGATATGGTTGTGCGCTTATTTTAAATATTAATGGATGAAAATATGATCGAAGGAAAAAAAAAAGGTAAAAGTAGAGTTAGAGAAGCTCATTTGGCTAAATTAGTAAATCCTAGCTTCCTCTACATTCGTGTTGGAGACGAGGCGACGAGCTCTACTCTATTGCTTTAGTGGTTAATTATCCTTGTTGTCTGTGTGCCTCACTGTCTTCTTCAAGAACAACTAAAAGTGACAGAAGCTAAGACTATCGGAGTTGGACAAAAGACCGTGCACATTTCGATCTCGTTCGCGTTCTTGTTCTGTGTGTTCTTTAGGGAATCGTCGCACACTTGATTGTCGCAGGGAAGCTTCATTGCAACATTGATAAGATTTCTTGTTCTGTGTGTTCTTTAGGGAATCGTCGCACACTTGATTGTCGCAGGGAAGCTTCATTGCAACATTGATAAGATAGCAAACAAGGAGGACTTGTTGAACCTCATCCAAAGAACTCGTTGAAAGGCAGACCTAAAACTGAGGTAAATTTTTCGACCAAGTTAGTTATGGCAATTATGGCCAACCCGTTGGTAACGCATTTCAATATTTCGGTCAATCTTCCTCGGAGCACTATTGGTGCAAGCTTTCACAAAATGCCAACAATACAAATAGGCAAATGCTTGCACCAACGAGTGACCCGAAAAAGGCAGACCAAATATTGAGTTCAGACTCCGAAAAATCGTTTAAGTTGCCGTGGAAACTGAACAAGTGGGATGTATATAATATAAGAAAGGAAGGAAAGAGGAGAAGCTGTGAAGAAGCTGAGCTACCGATGTGGTATTCGATTCATGTATGGATTGGTGGGATCCTTCCTTCTTAGAGGGGAGGAGGCTACAATTTTTTTTTTTAAATGAACTATATAATGGCGGGGCATTTGATTCCCTTTTTATTTTCCAGGATAAATTTCTAAACGGAGCATCACGAGCAGTGGAAACTATAAAGTATAAAGCTCCTAGAGGCTTCGATAACAGTCGAGACCAATGATATTATCATTTGACTGAACCATGATTGGCAAAAAGATCATTCTCATTGTTGGGCTAGCTATTCTCTCGATCAGGGTTCAGGAAGGTGTAATTTCGCGTACGCTAAGTCGTGCCTAGGCAGGCACCGACAAGTGACAAAAAAACGCATCGCCTAGGTCCTAGCCTCACGATAAGGCGTTTGTAGCGCCTGAAAGATGCTTAGGCAAAAACAGATCCACTAAGTCGGTGTGAGGCGTGATTAATCGAAGCGAGTCACTCTTTTAATTGCACTGGTATATCGAGGAATAAAAAGAAATTGTACCTAGTCTTCACAAAACGACATCATCTCTAGCTGCCATGTATTCAACGCGTCCTTCACTCATTCCTCGATTTGGAGTCGCGATTCTAGATCATGACTTATTTTGATTATTGTCGATGGTAAATTATTAACATTTGAGATTTAACTGGGTAAAAAACATGCTATCATATTATTATTTCTACTAAAAAACACTGCATTAAAGCATCAACATATGTGTCATTGGGTTGAGCTCTAGACATAAGATCGTTGCTATGCTCGCTTTATAATACAAGTGATTGCATCATTGTAGTGACTGAGATTTGATTATGGAACAGGATTGCCCTGCGATTTTGCTTTTGATAGGCAGATGTCGGCGTTTTACCACTTCGATTCTTCCATATTACCAATCTTCCACAAACTCCTCACCACAGTTCACAGTAGCTCTGATACCAACTAAATTGAAAACGCAAATTTCAGCCACAATGTCACTAATGCACAATATAACCTGATAGCAGCTTGGAGATATCAAACAGATATAGTAAGATCATTGCTGGGAAATCAACATAAAGAAAGAAATTATGAAACTAAGCAATTGTTGAGTAAATATATGATTTGCAATAAACTATTGATGCACTTAAAAACTTTCCTATAAAAGATGGCACTATCAAATCAAATATCATCAGTGCCATCAAAAAGAAGAGTGCATTTAGTAGATGATGAGGGCTTATATACAAGTATACAACCACAATATTCTTGGTCGGGATTAAAAGTTTTTTTCTGTTTTTAGGTTTCGTTAGAAGAATCTCAAAATCACGAACCATAACAAAGTAATTTGGACAACACCTTGCATCCAAGTGACCCCTAAAAACACTTCCACTAAGGATTGTTTGGGTTGAGGTTCAATTTATAGGGGCCAAGTGGCCAACTGGTTAGATGAAACGACTAACTTAATACGGTACTGTCAAGTATTTGACTCAACCATATCAACTGATCGACACAACGCTGTTTTGTAGGAAAGCTCGCTCATCACACCAAGCTAACGCCTACAAAAAAAAATCTGAACGGCTAAATGTCGCCTTTGTTTAACTATTATCACCCTAACTTATAATACAAAATTACTAAATTGTCTTTTATCAATTAAACCTAATTCAACAAGACAAATAAACTCTAAAATCCCTAATTTCCTTCAACAACGCCAACCTCCTCTCGCCGAACGCCATCTGACGTCGTTTCTTCTCCTCGCAAAAAATGTCTATTATTTACAAAACGCAAAAGTTATGACTTATGACTACCTTTGAAATTGTGATGATAAGCAAAGATCGAATGGCCAACAATCACAATGATCGAGCGATCGAAATACAAAATAAGAAAGTCACTTTTTAGTTTTTACCAACAACAATTAGACTAGGATTTGTTGGACCACATCCAACAATGCAACAATCCATACAAAAACAAAAAATATGAATTAGGGCTGGCTATTTGGACCGGGACCGGATAAAAAACTGGAAACTGGACCGTATAATCCGGACCGAAACCGGACCGGGACCGGATAGTAAACAATCCAATCCAATCTTTGGGCTTAGATTTGAGATAAAAAATCGGATAAAGACCGGATAAGAGAGCTCAACACCCAAAACTTAAGTGTAATTTGCATAAACGGTCACAAACCTTTGCACTTAGTACAAAACTTAACCAACTCCTCACCCTTTTAGGCCTTAGGCCACTCAAATTCCCACAATCTCAATATAAAATCAAGATCGAATTGGGACCGGACCGGGTCAAGACCGGACTGTATCAAATCCAATCTTTGGTCCTTATATTTTCAAAAAAAAACCGGACTGAACCGGATCAATTTGGGCCAATTTAACCGGACCGTATAGCCACCCTAATATGAACCGTGACTACAAAAACTGTTTTGAACTACAATTGTGAAGCAGTAAGCACCTTTTTCGTGGAATGGGGAATCGGCGAATCTCAATATCTAATGTTCTCAAAAAAGAAAACATAATAATAGTAAGATCCGCCATTCACACTAGAAATTTTTGTAACTAAGGATTGTTGGGTAAATGTTTGATTTATGAAAACCTCCCGTCCCGTGACCCAAAAATAAGTCTTCCGATGAAATGACACTTCCAATACGAATATCACTGCCATATAAAACATAAAAATAAAAAAAACGTTTTCGAGTCTCAGGAGACCTCATAAACTTAACCGTACCCCACTACAGGATGATGTCTGCGACTGTTGTTTCAATTAGCATGTGGCCGTTATATAGCAATGAAGGCGGGAGCTGATCTCTTTGCTGAGGTGGTCATTATTGGTTCAACCATGTTCATGTAGTGGAAGTTCGATGGTTGTGGTAGTTTTGATTGATCGTACTCCTGTGGCAGTAAGACACAAGGGTCCAGGTCTCTCCGGTCACCGATCCTAATAACGAGTTGCGGCCTGTCCATGGTAGCGTGACAGATGCGTGAGGATGTTGTCGATGTTGATTTGGCCTGAGGTTGTGAGGCGTCGGGGAGACTCCGGCTCGCCTGTTTCGAGTTCTTTTTTTTTTTTTTTTTGGAGAAAGTGACTTTTTTGGTATACAAACAAAGTACACCTGAATAGACTTTGCGAACTAAGAATTGTCGGGCAAATGTTTTGTTTTGTAAGGGCAAATGTTTTGTTTTGTAAGAGCTTGGTGAGATTTGAAAAAAAAATTCCTATAGAGACAGCACTACCAATTCCAACATTGATGCAATCCCAAAGAAAAAACTTTTCCAAACACCCAGGAAACTGTTACAAAATATAAATATTACCTGCAAGTACTAATTTATTGCATCTGCAAATGCTTAGGGACAATTATATAGGAAGGAAGGAAGTAGCGGGAGTGATCTCTTTGTCTTTGACGATGTGGTATTGTTGCGGGTGGGAAACATGAAAGCCAATGTGTGCATCATATTATGATTTCCCTCTACAAACCATCCATCTTCGCCGTCTGTTTCGAAAAGAATGGAGTGGCCGCAATTTTATCATCCAAGCCACAACTCCCAAGATCGAAATGTAGATCAAGGTCGGGATGTTCTCGGCATTGTGATTTTGACGTTGTTTAAGAGTGAACGGCCTTCTATTCACTTCAATCGAAGGATTCTCTTCTGCTGTAGACAACATCGCTCCATCAACCAAACCTCCACCTGCCCTGTATGGTGATGATTCTCCGAAGGTACTTTCAAATCAACGTACTTAAAACAAATTTGGAATAAAATTACGCGGGCTGGGTTTGACACTATTTACTCGATTTTAGATTTCGGTGTGGTCCAAATTCGTATTGTAATAGTAATCACAGAGATAGAAAGATAGAGCTAACATAAATTGCTAATCAACATCTTGAAAAGCCAGGAGAGTGTAATGTTTGGATCATTAATCACTCGGACGATCTAAATGAAACCAAGAAACTTCCCTTTATAGCTCAATCTAACCCCTCAACGTAATTAAACAAGCAAAACCCCGAAAAAAGAGACAACCGAATATCCCAATTTTAGCACACCAAGAGCCTTATACACACGGCTTACTCTTTTTAGACGAAGCTGCAAATTTTTGGAATAAAATACACGGGACGTGTTTGTTTCCTCTTTTTATTTTCTAAAATTTTCCCCTCGAAGTTATGTTCCAAAGCCCAATTCAGTCACTTGAAAATAAGGTTGTCAAACCGGTTTATGCCGGTGCGCCGGTTTTATGAGTGAAATGGTTCAACCATGGTACAACCAGTGCATATGTCGGTTACGCCGGTTTTACCAAAATATCCCAAACAATAATTTATATAGATTAATATTTATTTGTTCGTTTCATCTCGTAATCCACAAAAAGGAAACTCGCAAAGAGCAACAATGGAAACTCCATAATCCTAAGGTCTCCATTGTTCCTCTCTATCCCATCTCAACCTAGAGTATAAAATCCATTATTGGAAACTCCATAATTACGCATGTGCACTCCCTAATCCCTCTCGCAGCAAGAATGGAAACTCCATAATTCCATCTCAATTTCCGCCTGACTCACATCAGAATCATCGACCTCAAACCCAACCCGCTCTCCCTTTTCCCCTACTCTCTCTTCTCGCCTTTACCTTCTGTATCTAGCGGCTTGCATCGCCACCGACAACTCTAGGATTAGGGTTCCCGAGGATGTAGATAGACAGAGCTGAGCTGCCAAATCCGCCCCGCCTTCCGATCTCACTGCGCCTTTCTACTGCAGAGTTCGCCGCGACCTGTCTGACCGCCGATTCTCTAGGATTGAATGTTCACGAGGAAGGAGAAAGCATAGTTGAGTTAGCGATCGACGACTGAATGGAATGAAGAGTTTGGTCTGACTCGCGAAACGTCCCCAAAACTCCATCCAAAACGAGGACGCTTCTTTGAATTTCCGGATTCAAAATTCCGGTTGGACCACCCGACATTTCCGATTTTGACTGAAATTGACCGGTATTAACCAAGGCATTATACTGGTGACATTCCAGCCGGTTTCATGACCGATACCGGTTGAACCTGGTTCAACCGGCCGGCATGCCACTGGCATGACAACCATGCTTGAAAATGAGGATGTATTTGTTTTGACATTTCGTTTGTATTTTGAATTCGAGAAAATAGTGTCTAAATATCATGCCTAATGATTTTGTTCATAGCATACTAAATTAGGTCGAATCACTATTTAAATCAATACAGGTTTTGTTGGGTTTGGTTTGGGTGATATTGAATTTGTACTATATTAGTATAACAATTTCTTAATTTTCTCACATAATTAATTTCAATATTTGAACAACAATTGTGGGCTTTTTCTCACATAATTAATTTCAATATTTGAACAACAATTGTGGGCTTGTGGCGGCAATTATTATCTTTTCCTGGACGATGGAGCAGAAGTTAATTTATCTCACGGATTTTAGAATGAACCATGATAGACAAATTAACCTCTACTGCCGTTCCAAGGAAAGAGAACTATGCCAGCTGCCATTGATTTAGCCTCACCCTTCACAACATATATATATATATATATGAGCGATGCTTCCTTGGAACGAATGACTCCAACCGATGTGGTATTATCTACAGAGAGCAACAATCGTAAATTAGATTAGAGGCTTTTTAATTAGCTTTCAAGGCAAAGTAATTAACGGAAATAATCCCAGAAACCCAACGTCTATAACTCTTCTTGTGATTTGCCACCTGAACAACCCTTGCCACAATATTTATACTTAGCCAAACATATTCAGCTAGAAAAGAGCGAGATCGATACTGGCTGCAAAGTAACTAAAAAAAAGAATCGAAACGACCTTCTAAAGGGATTTGTGGAGATGAATGGATTGATCGAACTCGATATATATATATATAGCTTTTAGATTGCCTTCTTCATCGAAGAGGTTGGCGCTGGCTGTGTAAATTTCAGTCAGGTCTAGCAGAAAGAATAACATAAGTCGAAGAAAAAATAATTTGTACTACAATTGTGACGGCAACTATCATTTCAGAGCGATGCTTCCTTGGAATGAATGGTTCAAAGCGATGTGGTACCGAGGGCAACAATCCATTTGCCACAATTTCCTATCTAATTTGGATTTTGGTTTAGATTACAGATTGAGTGTATATTATATAATAGTATAACAATATATAAATTTACTCACGTAAGTTCAATATTGAAACTAGAATTATGACGGCAATTATCCTTTCTTGGGACTTGGTGAAGGTCAATTTGTTATAACATTGTCTTCTAATTTTATAAAGTACCAATGATAGACAAATTCACTTCCACCAATCCCAAGAAAAGTAATACTATGCCCACTTTTTTGGTTATTGCTTTGGCTAAGGACTTCACAACATATATATGAGCGATGCTTCCTTGAAACGAATGTCTCCAACCGATGTGGTACTGAGAGCAACTCTTAAATTAGAGGAGGCTTTTAATTTAGGTTGTTGATTGGTCATTTTTTCCCCTCGTTCTATAACGTTATGCTTGTTGAAACTTGGTTGTTATTTTTTGATGATCTTAATCGTATTTGTGGAACCTTGGTTACTTGTTAGATTTGGATGAGAATTGACAACATTTAACTTTTGCAGGGGTTATCTAGTTTGAAGGGAGCAACTTTAAGATATAGATTGTGATAAATTGTTGGTGTCATATGAATGGTTTGTCTCGTAAAAGCAAATCACAAAATTTTCGTGAAGCACGCCATCCATATTTTTCATAAAGCAAATCACAAAATTCTTCTCGTGTACACCCCAAAACTCACAAGGCATACCACAACACACATGGAACACATCAGAAAAGCACGAGGAAAATATATCGCAAATTTTATAAGCGGACCATAAATCTCCTAATGCAAATCACATAATTCTATAGAACTGACCAAAAAACAGAACGAGAAAGCATAGCACGAATCTTCTGAAGCATACCATAAATCTCTTACTCTTCGTCATGTATAATATCATGTCGATGAGATTAACGCTGTTGATCGTTCTACACATGTGCTTTCATATGGTTAACTCGATAAGCGGTGACTGTCTTGACATCTACACCGACAGCGGCGGATCCAAAACGCAGTAAAACACTGGGCCGCATTTCAAAACCCAATAGTCTGGTGCTTCTTCGTGGCCGATGAGAGTTTTCCTAATGGCTTCATTTCCATGTGCCGTAGTAAAGCAATCAAGCATTTGCACATCCCAAATTTCTGTGGTTATGGTCGATCCACTCTGCAACTTTGATGGATGGTGGGTTATATCACGGACTACTCTCCCTCCCTGAATTTGATGAATCCACGGATCAAAGGAAAATGTTTGTGGTTTTTCCGTTCCCAATGACTTTCAGGACGTCCCTCTCAAGATACTCTTTAACCTGCCGCAAGCTCGACCAAATCCAGGAGGGCTCTATTTACTACGTTGCAAAATTTTCTCTTTTTTCATTCTTGTTCTTGAATTGTTATCGAACCTCCTCTTAACACGTTGCAGATTTGCCTTCTCCGTTGTGGTTACGAGTGTCTGAGAGAAAAAAATGGCGACAACACGAGAGCTTTGTTGAAGATGGGGTATAGGAGGAGAGCAAAATAAGTAAATAACCATACTAAACTCGACAAGTGATACAAGCTAAGTATTAAGTGCATAAAGAACACACCTTTGTTCATACAAAAAAGCCAAGTGCAAGATTAGGGGACAAACACTGGCTTCTGCAACCCTAAACAACACATTCCAAAAAGAAAGAAGAGAGCCACAGCCGGAAGGAGACCACAAAGAAAAACTTGGCTTAACCATTAAAGTCATTTCTATACAGAGAAAAAGCCTTACTTTCAGAACCCTGATGGCTTAACCATGAAATGCAATACAGCCTCCTCCCTCTCCCTCCAAAATGCAATTGACCAAACGACAATGGCCCTCCCTTTGATTCAATTAGATTCAAAGAAAATTTAAACTACGAGGAAGCAGCAGCAGCAGCTGCAGCATTGTGGGTGGTGACATCCTTGCTGGACCGGTTGTACTTCATGTGACTCTTCACCAGCTGCCCTGCCGCGAGCGCCGACATCAGCGACAGCTCGCCGGCCAGAACAGACCCCGCAACTACCGTCGCCAGTCGCCTCGCGTTCGCCCCTGGCGCCTCGTAGCAGGCGCCCTTCACCCCGAGCAGGTTCAAGCACGCAGCTTGCGACGCGAGCTGCGTCCCACCTCCCACCGTTCCAACCTCGATGCAGGGCATGGTGACCGAGACATGGAGATCCCGCCCCTCGTTCGTACTCTCCATCAGAGTGATGCAGTGCGAGCTCTCGACGTTCTGCGCCGGATCCTGGCCCGTGGCTAGGTACACCGCGCTCACGATGTTGCTGGCGTGCGCATTGAACCCGCCAAGCGCCCCTGCCATGGCCGAACCAACCAGATTCTTGTCCTTGTTCAGCTCGACGAGCGACTGCACGCTGGTTTTCAGTACCTTGTTCACCACGTCTCCTCTGATCACGGCCTCACACACCACCGACTTCCCTCGGCCGTGTATCCAGTTCACTGCTGCAGGCTTCTTATCCGCGCACAAGTTGCCTGATTTCATTTTTTTGCAGAGGTCAGTTTTGAGATCATCTTTCTTTTATAAGACAACACAAACAATCAGATCAAAGAAAGAGGGATGGAATGGTTTTCAGTTTACCGGAGATGGCGACGACTTCCATGTCAGGGAAGAAATCGGCATCCTGGAGGAAATCCAGCACATTCTGAACACCTTTGGAGACCATGTTCATCCCCATGGCGTCCCCAGTGCTGCAGCAGAATCGAATGTAGACGCTCCTCCCTGACAATGTACAATTCGCGCTCTGCAGCCTGGCGAATCGGCTGGATCTGTTGAAAACCATGGAAACCGTGTCGAAATTGCGGGGATCCTCCAGGTAGAACTTGAGCTGCGCGGCCCTCGCGATGTTGGGGAATCGAACTACCGGAGCCCTGGTCATCCCGTCCCTGAGGAGGACGCTGGTGGCCCCGCCGGAGAGGTGAATCGCCTTGCAGCCGCGGTTGGTGCTGGCGACGAGGCAGCCTTCGGTGGTGGCCATGGGTACGGAGTACTCGGTGCCGTCGAGCAAGAGTGGGCCGGCGATTCCGACGGGGATCTGGACGTATCCGACTGGCATCTCGCAGCACTGACCTAGAATTGAATCGTAATCGAATCCCTCGAGCGGGAGCCCGGAGAGGGAGCGGCCGGTGATCCTCTGGAGGGCCTCGCGGCGGATGGCGGCGGCGCGCTTGCAGTCCCCCAATTTGGATTCGAGGGAGTAGGAAGGTACGGCGCCGGAGACGACGGATTGGACGAGCTCCTCGTCGTTTTGGGGAAGTAATAATTCAATTGGGGCGGCGGCTAGGTCAGGAGTGGCGGCGGCGGGGATTGCGCAATTTAGGGATTGGGGGCAGGCGGCGGCGAATCCGCCGTCGACAGCGACGATCTCGTCGTCGTCGGGGCGGAGGAGGAAGGACTGGACGAATTGGATGCCGAAGAAGCCGAGGAGGTAGACGAAGGAGGCGAGGAAGGCGAGGAGGGCGAGGATTTCGGAGAAGGTGAGGACGTGGAGAGGGGTTTGGGTGCGGATCTTGTCACTCCAGCGGCGGAGGAGGAAGTAGACGGCGGAGAAGAAGAGGACGAGGAAGAGGGCGTTGGTGAGCTGGAGTGGGAGGGGCAGGGCGTCGGAGGCTCTGCGCTGGCTGTCGTCTTCTTGGCGGTGGCCGGCGGCGGAGTGACGGTGGAGGTTACTGAGGGGCGGGGCAAGTGGCTTTTTGGTGGATCGGCGGCGGGGATCCATTGTTCCGGCGGCCGGCGGGGAAGGAAGAAGGATGCTCTGTTGGATGGATGATGCTGTTGGCTGTTGCAATTCCACAACAACTCAAACTCAACTCTGCCGGCAACTACTCCTCCGTCACCCTCCAATTTATGCTGTCGAGGGAACTGACTCTCAAAAACAGTTCAAATTTTGCGTTTTGTTTTATATTCATTGGCGTTCTGTCCTTTTTAATAATTTCTTTTTCATGAATTGGCGTTCTGTGCTTATATATATATATTTTTTATCAATATACAAAAACAAAACTCATGTTAGTTTTGGGGGGTCAGATTTTGACTTTTAGGACTGTCTCATAATTAGTCACGTTTTTATGCAGGTTTAATCTTTGAACATGTTTTATTTATTTATTTATTTATGACTTGAACTTGTCCGAAGGAGGCGGCGGTGGTGGAGCGTTTGGTTTCCTGGGAGGAGCTAGCGGAGGTGGCGCTAGAGCCTTGTTTTGGAGCGGTGGCGGAGACTGGACAACCTTCTTCTGGTACCCATTCTTCTTGCTCTGCCCTTCCAGCTTCCTCCAATACACCACATCCAGCCCGTTCTCGTCGACAATCAGTCCCTTCACATTCCCGCCGCTCCTCACAGACTGCTCCACCGTTGATGAGTCAGCATATTACAGCTGATGTGGCAGTCCCAATGGCATGGCTATTTACATTTTGGCGCCTACCGTTAGTAATGGGGACGAAAATGATAACGATGCTACCAAAATTTGACGTAAATGGTTTAGTTGCAACGAAACATACTTAGGTGGTTATCGTGCAACAAATGCTAAACTTAAGTGGCACCATGTGCAATTAACCCAATATTTTTACTTTTTTTTTTTTTTGGGCAGCGCTGGGAATATTTTTACTCAAAACATCCCGATATATGGCCTTCTTTTCACTCTCAACGAACGGTTCTATTCCGCTGTAGACAACATCGCTCTATCATCCACTTCTGCCGATCAACCCGACTCTTGGACCAGACCATACAATGGCATTGTAAGTAGGGGTGGGCGTTCGGTCGGTTTGGTTTGAATCGAACCGAAATTGGGATATGCCGAATTTCCCAAACGCCACACACTGCAACCGAATTCGAACCGGCATATAATTCGGTTCGACAGAACCGAATTATAGATCGATTCGGTTCGGTTTTCCCAAACAAAACCGAAATATCTGTTGATGACCTGCTGAGTTTTTTCTTCAATGTTGGTGCTTATGTTCTGCTGCTTTTGGACAATAGGGTTGTTGTATTTTTGCTTCTCATTTAAGTTGTTTATCACCTAACATTTCAATTTTATAGATCAAATACAATTAATTAAAACAAGCATTCAAAGTTGAAAGATAATCAATGTCCACCTTCCAAATATTCAACACAAACACAATACATCAAGTCCTTCCAAATATTCATTACAATACAAATGGTTTTAAATTCAAACTAACATGAGAAAGGTAACCAAATAACCAATGTCTAAATTCCAATCATAACTTGTAGAAACTCCAAAGATCTTGTTTCTTAGCTCTTCACTCTTGGACAATTGAGACCTTTGAATTCAAAAATAGTACAAGGAACATGAAACAAAACAATGATGGTTAGTGACTAATATGTATAAAGCTAATTACAAATAATCAAGTAGAATAGAATAAAATCTCAACTTCTTACCTCTAAAGTCATCAATCGTGCATAGAAACATCGGAATTTTCACCACAAGCACTACTAGATGCACTACCATCGTTCCTCCTTCCACTTGAACTTGGTACATTGGAAGTCGAGGTAGATGAAACAAGATTATCTCTTATGGAGATTGCATTCATCAACTTGTTCGATTCTGCAAGATTAAAAAAACTCAAAATTAGTCATGACATACAAATTAATAATGTTATAAATATGTAATGTTCAATTCTGCAAGATTAAAAAAACTCAAAATTAGTCATGACATACAAATTAATAATGTTATAAATATGTAATGCTAGATTTGAGACTTTACCTTCATCTATTGTAAGGAATGTTTGCTCCGCTAGAGCGACCCTGGCGACTACAAATTACAATCCCAACCGCAAAACACTTTTACATAGAGGTGGCAAATGGATTGGATTGGTGGATTGGTGGATTGGATTGGTGGATCCATGGATCAAGTGGATTGGATCTAATGGATTGGTGGATTCATGGATTGGATCAAGTGGATTGGTGGATTATCCATGAATCCAAATGACATCCTCAACCAAGGACCAATATGTAAAATGTAAAAAGTTTAGGTACTAAAATGTCATAATAAAAAATTTTAGGTACCAAAACGTAATTTTCCAATGATATTTTTCGTATAAAAAATTAAATTTTAGGTACCAAAATGTAAAAAATAAAAATTATAGGTACTAAACCGTAATTTGCCAATGATCCATGGATCCAATCCATGAATCCACCAATCCAATTGGATTTGGATCAAATGGATTGGATTTAAATGGATTGGATTAGGTGGATATTTTTAATGGATTGATGGATTGGATTGGTGGATTGGATTGAAATTGCCACCTCTACTTTTACACTAAGAATTGCTGGGTTCTGGTTCAATTTATGAAGAAGCTAACGGTAACGTCAGGAACCAACTTTCACTTATTATGTCCTGTCAAATGCTTGACTTGACCATGGTGGAAAGCTTGCTCCTGATCGCCCTGCTAGCTCTCATAAAAGAAACCACCCACTGCTCAAACCGCTTAGAGATGGTAGATCAGCCTCTTTGGGGATTTACATATAGCGTGGCCAAGGAAGGCTACTGGCGTTCTAGCGATGTGGTAGTTCAGCTGATCAAGCTGGATTGCTGTTTTACCCTGTCGAAGATATCCGAAGCCAAGTTTTGGGCGAGAATCGCGAACGCGAGTTGAACGTGTTATCGATCTCTCACTTCCAATGGAAATCTCAGAAAAGGGCGATGCAGGAGCCTATACTGAAGATGGTGGATACAGGGAGAGGCAGCGAACCATATTATAAAGAGACTATAACAGCTTTCTATGAATGTGCAACCAATGAAATAATTAAGTGTTCTAAAAGGAGGCCCCAAGAAAAGAAGAATAAAATCTACACGTTGACTAAGTTACAGGTGTGGTTAATTCTCCGACGACTATTAAGGTCGAGAAGACGACGACGGGCTAGTGATGGTGGCTACGTTTCTCCTTATCGCGCCTGTCGGAGATGGGTTTGCGGCGTCGGATACTTCTAAAGGGATCAACCCAGAACTTGTCTTCTTTAACGGCTTTGTTCCAACGGTCCTTGAATATTTGAAGCTCCCATGTCGACTGCCTCCTAATCTGTTCGATCCAAACTCGGAAAATGAAACACTGTTAACTCACCGAGATTATTCGTAGAGAGTATGTTACTAAGAGAGGATTAGGAGATGACGAGTCTCCTATACCTCCATCCGAGGATCCAAGCCTCCACTGTGCCTCTGCGAACACACGAAAAGAGAGATAAAAAGGGACAGAAAAGGCGTTAATATTTCACGTTTGGATGGGGATCATATGAAGGGACGAGAAGGCGGTATCTGTCGTTGAGCTTACCTTGCTTGATTCGTCATTACTCGAGCTCTGAAACACAGAAACCATAGGAAAAGACGGGAACTGAGATTATGTCAAATCAGGTAACAACGACGAAATCTATGATCTTGAGGTGGTCTAAGAGTGAAGTACCTTCTTTCCACTCCCACCCAACGATTGTATTCCTTTGTGAACCACGTACTCTCGATCAACCACTCCTACCTTCTTCGTCCGGTCCCCCTGTGTGATGAAATCACATCTTTCAGTCCACAATTTTAGAAAAGGATTAGCCATAACTACAATGCCGTTTTCATAAGGCAACTAGTTTTGTCTTGCCTAATCGGCATTCCAGCATTAAAACGTTTATCAGATCGAAGGAACCACAGAATAGACATTTCAATAAACCATGGCAAGAAACAACAATGTAGAGGGCAGAAGAGAATTGGAAAATGTATCCTTACTTGTGCACAGTATCCAAGTTTCATATCCATCCCCCATCCATGCACGAGATCATTCTGGTCCAAGAGATAAAAAGGGACATTTCAGAAATGCATTAATACAATTGTTTCAGCATTCTAGTAGAGTGCAAACTTGCGACCTTCAGTCTTGAACTAAACTGCCTTATGTTAGATCCACAATATGACTCTGCATTCGGAACCTTAAAACAAGTGACACTATTTACGCATCAAAACTCCAGTTGCAGGTTATAAGTTTCTCCACTTCGTGTACCAGACAGATGGACACACAAACAAAATTAACTGTATCCAGTTTTGCGTTACCTGTATAAGATGCCAAGCACAATACCAGGCAGATCTTGAAAAGACTGGAGCCATTCCTTCTACAAATCTGCAGTTGTAGCATAACAGTTTTATAGATTGATTAGTTGCCCAATCATTTCAGAGTACGATATTATTATATTTCTGCAGCTAAATAGATATGCAGGAAGATGATGGTCCACCAAATATATATGGGTCAACTTTTTAAAAGTGCACATATTTGTGAAAAATGATTGCTAGTGATTTCCAGAGAATTCCTATCTACTTAATGTTTCTCTCGAGGATGCATTCAAGCTTTCACCGTGCCAAGAGCAAGAGGTAATAGTGCCAACACAAATGAAGTAAATGAACATTGAACATTCCAAAAGTTCCTACCCTGTACACGGTGGTCCATCGCTGGAATCCGAACACTTAACTTTGCCTCTAACATCATAGACTCTCCTACAGAATAAGAGAAACGAAGTGAGCATCATAAACAAGTGCAGTTCTAATCAACACATAATGAAGGCTACCACCCATTCACCTATGAAACTTCTTCATTCTCGCTCGGATGGTGATCCTATGGTGTATCTCTGTAGAATTTGGGTCCAGAGCGGGCTGAGATATTTCCAATCCTTCTGACCTCACAATATCCAGGTACCTAGTGAAAATGAATAAATGCCTACATCAGTTGAGTTTTCCAGTTAGCAAAGGTACATTAACATAACATGCACAACTAAAACCAACCCTCCAATGACCAAAAGATGGTTGCCTCTCAATGCAAGAGGTTTTTTAACACGAGAAAGTGCACTAAAACATAACAAGGGGCGGTGAATTCTCTAACAGAGCAATAAATTTACCTTGCTGGATTAAAATGCTGCACGCCCAGGTCTTCATCCCAGAGGAATATGTAATCATATATAGAGACGACAGCTGGATGCAGAAACCGCTTTGCAAACCACCTGCGGACACAAGTCCAAATCAAGCTGAAACACCCTACTGAAATGGGGTAATTATAAGCACAAGCCGGTTGATAAATGACCAGTAGGCAGAAGCTAAAGCTTCTTGATTCAGATTAAGTCAATTTGACCACCTAGACATTCCAAGCTTCATGACCAGAATTCATGTTAAAAGATTATATCAATTTCTTGGGAGCGGGTTGCCGATAATTCCTTACAACCAAGTACCATGTACCAGTAACACTATGCACGTTATGCTTCATGCTCTACACTCAGCCCATGGAAGATCATACAACATGCATAGAGGTATCCTTTAATACAGAAGCATCAAGGTACTGATGTTGATTTTCGCAAGTCATGTAACTTCAGAAAAGAAATAAAGGAACTTCTGCCAGTGGCAACTCACCATTTCGTTTGATTATGAGCAACTATATGTATAGCTTTGCTACTCCATTCAAGATCCCACCATCCGTCAAGGTTACCATCATAATGGAATAGCATAACTGTAAAATTTTCTGGAAGAAACTGAATTCACTGAAGTTAGACATTATACTTGCAATCCAATAAAAAGTTTAAATAACGAAACCAAAAAATGCAGTACCTTTTGGACAACAGTGTCAACGTTACGCTTCTGTGTAATGCCAACGGGCATCGCCAGCAAGTAGCGACGATTAGAAGCATCAACCTCTGTCTGCGTGAACACAAAGACCAAAAAACAGTTTAGGCACACAATCCCTTGATTCATACAATGGCTGCAACAGAAAAGTAGATACGCTAATCCACAGCTACTCAGAACTTTTCACTCACAAACATCTAGAAACAAGGCGTAAAAGAAACTTATGTGAAAAAGGACTTGAAAAACCAACCTTTGACCTCGAACTACTCGACCATAAAGGCTTCAACTCCATATCCGAGTTCGGTCGTACTATACCACGGGGCAGATTATTTAACAACCCAGACGCAAAAGCTGATTCCTGAGTAAAAAACACCGAAACCCCTTAGCTAACCATGCAATGAATGACGAGAACAATCAGGCCATAGAATTTGAACAATTGGTGTAAAATCGAAGGTGTAAAGCAGAAGTATATCAGGCGGTAACCTCTTAATCAGTAAAGTATAAGTCTTAACAAGCTCACGACTTTGAACAAAGCATCCAGAGGCGCACAAATAGTTACCTTTATCGAGTCAAAGGGATGCATTTTCACTTCCATCTGGACCACAGTAAGAGAAATGGTCAGTAAATCTTTCCCACAAGCATCACTAATCAATAAAGAAGAACCAATAAGGAAGGTGCTGCAAACGTAGAGATTGCATAACAGTACCAGACCACAAAGATTGCATCTCGTTCAACATAAAGGCAGTAAATAAAGATAAAAACTAAAACGACCTGACTATAGTTACTAACATAATCCAGTCATTAACTTCAAAAGCAAGTTTTCCTCCCCCCCCCCCCCCCCCCCCACCCCATCAATCAATCTCTTCCATGCAAAGCAACCAACCACCATAAACAAAGCAACATATTGCCCACAATCCATGGCTTCCCAATTAAAAAAAAAAACACACCTCCAAAACACGTACACATAAATGAATTAAGAGAGTTGGACGCACCTCCGTGTGCTCATACTGAAAAAGTGTGGTCCTATACACAATAAACAGCATGCCTGTACAAAGAGCCACCATCATGGGCAGCTGCGTACCCTTGAATCCACATTTCCCCTGCATCAGCACATTCAAAAGGAACAAATAAGACCCAATTCGCAAGAAATCAGAATCAATATTTCTTCCCCAAATCCAATTGGCTCCCATTTCCATTACCCCATCGAATATGGCGTTTCGTTTGAGTGATTTCCATGGCCTGAGAGACGTCATTGACAGCCAGCCAGCCTCACTCCAGATTGGCCTTTCCCACCCCTTATGTCGTTATCATCACAAAGCTGCAGCACCAGGTTTCATACAAAATGCAAAAGCAAGCAATCAGATCAATCTCTCTAGAAACGCAAAGTAATTAGCAAGTTAATTAAGGATCAATTCAAACTGGGTGGAAGAGAATCCAAACAAGGAAAGAAACCCAAGTTCCACTGTGGAGAAATTAAAGACGAATTCATTTCCTGCTGAGAATATTTCGGCCGAACGCCATGGGAAACAAAGGAAAGACAACCAACAGAAAACCGACAATCTCCGTTCAGGGGGGATCTCCACAGAACAACAAGAAATCGGGGGGGAGCGTATCCGCCGATTCTTCCACCTGAACGGAAACGAATTCGGTCCGCCAACCACCGCGGCGGATCTTTTTTCTTCTTTGGCGCGCGAATTAGAACAAGGGAGCAAACAAAAATCGACTGAGGCTAACCTTTCTTTCCCCCTTTTTTTTACAAATTCCTCTCTTCTTCCCTCGGATGCGGCAGAAGAAGAGACTCCGTCGCACAATGGACTTGAAGGAGCACACGGATTGCTGTGTCGGCAGGGGTGATCAGCGGCGCATTGCTGCCGGCGGCGGGCGGTGGAGCGTAGAGATTGGGTAGGGAGATCAACGGAGAGAGAGAGCGAGAAGTGGGAGGAATCGAGGAAGAGGTGGAGCAAACGGAGGAGAGAATGGGAAAGGGAAGAGAAGGAGAAAGGGAGAGAGTCAGTCGAAGGAGACGAAAGTGGCGGAATCGTCGCGTTTTAAGGGAACAAAGGCCCAACCTTTTTGGTTTTCTGGATTTAATTTTCTTTTCTTTCTTTTTTCTTTCACCGTTTTTAATGGGGAAAAAGGGTTCTCAAGGGGATGATTTTTTCTTTCGGTATTTTCTTTCTTCTTTCAATCTAGTTTCCACGTGGATGGTAATGATGTTCGCGCGCGCTCTCTCGTGGAAGTCGTGACCACTTCGATCTGATAAGTTGAGATTGTATGGAGTACGATTTAATATTGTTAGATTAAGCACACATTTTAGACGTGCTAATGTCTATACTGATGAAATAAATTTCAAGCCCTAATTCTCACGCCATTATGGTTAATCACAAACATTCCTCTATGCAAGTTTGTGTAGTTTTCAGAGATTCGTCGTATTAGCATAGGTGGGTTAAAACTTAAAAATGAGAATCGAGTGGGTAAATAAGCTATGAAAAAAGTATGTAGAAATTTGTGTGTGTATTGATGGGGTTGTGAGAGTTTCCAAAAAAACTCACATTGTTTAAGACGGGTAAAAAATTATGAACCCGATTGGTTAATTGTGATATGCAGAGATAAAGTTTACAAGTAATATTTCAACCCGATTTTTGGAATGTCAATAGACAACATGAACTATTATCCACTGATTCGAAACATATTGATACGTAATTTGAGCTGACTATTGCAATAACATTTACAATGTAGCGACTTTAGTTTAATAAACGAAAAATACAATTAGTGAGCTAAGTAGTGAAAATCCGCGCAACAACACTTTGGAAAAATTGTATTAAAGGGTTGACTAATTAAAGATTAGGAGTTGTTGTAAGAAAAATATTAGGAGATAATATTAGTTAACCTAATTGTTTGGTTTTTAGTGGAGAGACTTTTGGTTTTGTAATTTTCCAGGTGAGGGGGAGAAATAAATGGTGCTTACTTTTATTTCGTTTTGGTCCTTATTTGTCACCAACCGCAGCACTACACGTGGCTTTTTGAAGAGGTCGAGCTAACTTGGGATTTGAATGAACTATTGAAGACGACTTTCACTGTCGTTTTCTTCAGTCCCTTTCAAATTCCTAACTTGTCCAAATTTTACCATTTGCCCCCCAAAAATACCAACTTAATTAACTGCTCTCTATCTGTACATAATTACTTTACACACCGATCCAAAAATTAAAAGTGGTAACTTGTGTTAGTATATATGGATCCTTTCATTGAATTCTAGATCGTACCATAATGGCCAAGTAGATGCCCAAATGGAAAATGGAGTTAATGAAGTTTGAGCCACTATAAAAAGAGTTGGGGTGTTGTTTAACTAAGTAACTAACCATCATGTAGACTTAGCGACGAGAATGAGGCGTGTTTGGGGTAGGTTATTCTAAACCATTATAATTCTCATTTTTTAATATCTAAATTCGTATCGTCTCATTCCCCCATGATGCAGAGAAAGGTTTTACAAACCTCATCCTCATACAGGTGATTTTTTGGGTACCCATGAAAAATATTCGCCACGTACATTTATCGTATCGTGAAGTCAGAGGATAGGATACAAGTTGAATTTGTATTGAAAGGAAAAAAAATTAATTCGTACTGTAAATTAATTTGTATGAAACTGAATTTGTACGTCAATGTTAAAGATACAAATTCAGTTTGTATCATAAGGAAATTTGTACGAAAATTATAGGAATTTGTGACACAATATTAAAATGTACAAAATAAGTTTGTGCCATAACAGAATTGAGTATAACAATGAAGCTCAAAGCCATGAATTGATCCGATTTTTCTTATAACCGAGGAACCCTCTCGATACATAATGCCGATATTCACAGCCAGAAACGTTTAAAGCCATAATGTGGCAAACCAATAAGCCGCGCGCGAGATCGATAGATCACATTTCGTCTAACTAATCAGATAGTATACATATTTGATTGGTCCGATCCATATTCATGAAAGTGAAAAAGGAAAGAAATGTGTTGATTACGAAAAGAGTGACAAACACATGCAACTCCTATATATATATATATCATTGTAATCTCCATCTATCATCTCCATCTCCATCCATTGTTATCTTCTATTCTATCACGGTCGTTTCGTGACTCTTAGTCTTGTACATATAACATGCAAACGATGATAGCCAGCCTTGCCCATGCCCAAGCGTACTTTAGACTGCAAAAATCCGTATCCTTTTTCGCGTCTTCCTTCCCTTTGAGTGCAACTACACCATCTCCATGCAGAAACTTGATAAAGACTGTTCCAAAGAAGAAACAAGTTGGAGGATTAGATTTAGATATATACCATTACCATTTACCACACTTGAGTGGTCAACTGAAAGGCGTAATTGCTTGATGTCGATAATAGGAAGCAATGGCGTGGACGCTTGTGACTAAGGGAAAGTGGGTTTTTGGTTTCTTTGTTTATTTGGGTTAGTAGTATATATCTAGGGTTTGCTTGGGCTTCTTTGAGGTAAGAAATTGTGAAGTTGCTATAGGAGGGAAAGTTGTATGAATTCATGCAGAGCAGAAGAGGGAAATGTTATACACATAAGAGGAAACGTTTGATTCTTGTGTGGGGGTTGAGTTTTTTCATGATTAATTGTTTTACCATTTAAGTCGATTTTGTTTTGTTTTCAAACCATATCTGTTTGGTTGGAAATTGAAGATTAGGGATCGATGTACGCGGCTGATATGGATCGTTATCAATTTGGTCTGTAAGGTAAAAAGATATATATGGGATGGAATTGTTTCCTATTGAGGTCGATAAATTTATTTGTTAAAATGTTGTTTGGTTTTGACCGAGTATTTTACGATATGCAAAGGAAAAAAGACAGTGTTTTTTTATAAAAAATTTTAACGTATTGAACGATACTTTGTTACACATGATTTGTTTTAAAATTACTCGGGTTGTGGTAATGCACCAAAAACTCTTTCTTTCAGTTTAGGTATACAATATATGTTACTTTCAACAACTTATACAGGTTGATCATAATCAATTCTTCTGTGGGTATAAATTAATTCAGGGTTAAAATTATATATTTTGAAAATGCTGGGAAACATGCAAATAAAAATAATACAGAGTGTTATTAATATCCCCCTGACATCGGTCAACTAGAACATAGATTTAAATGAATTAGTTAAATTATTTGGTTTACCTGTTCCAAAAAACCAATTTATAAAATATAAACCCCATCAACCGGGAATTGGTTAATGCGGGACACATGGCGGCCTCGAAGGCTACAAAATGTGTGGTGGTTGATCCCACTTAATTTCCAATTCCAGACAATTAATTTCTTCTTATTAATTTAATCAACTGATTAGATTAAGTGAAAAGATAATTATTGTTGCTGTTTCTTTCCTGGTTGCAGGTATCCGGTGGCTGCCGGGGAAGGCTGCGACTGTTCTCCCAACAGAAGTGAATTTTACTAAATTACCCTAAATTTACCTTTCTAAGTGCTTACATTATTTCGTTGAGTAGTTAAGGTATCAGATTTTGTAGCGGGGAAGTCAGAAATCCGAATGAGAGGTGTTGAATTTGAATTGTCGTAATGAGTGGAGGAGAACTAAAGTTTTTTTTCAATTATTCTAATTTCTAAATTTGTGCAAATTTTGCATGTAATTTTACCTATATTTCAAAACTAAGAAAGCATAGCCCCTCCTTGCTTCACCACCGAGATTTTACACTAAAAAATATTGGTTTCAAGACATAATGTGCGACCTCTCTCGTCTATGTGTCGTTGTATAACCGTCTAATATCTCTTTGTGTGTTTGATGCTTCATCTGCCTACTAAACACATATTTCAAGGAATTAAATTGATGAGTTATTAGCTTTCTTTTTCATTCCACAGTTTAATTCCAAATTTCAAATGTTTTAGAGGCAGAATTCGAACTCTTTACAGTACCATAGTATCAGCTTAAAACGATGTACAAACCCGTACGTATTAAATTCCCATAATGTACATTGTAAATAATTTACCAACTATTTTTTTTTAATTCAATTCTCACCGTTAATTATTTCCGACTACAACTTTTCAGCGGGTACTTACAATTTACAAAAATAAAATAAAAAAAGTATTCATCGGCGACATTGTGATTATTATTCACGAGAAGATCGTGGTATCCTAAGATTTTATGAATACATGGTTCCACGTTAAAGTACACGACCTATAAATTAATGAGTGTGTTTTCAGTTCTTGCTTCAAAATTTGAGAAGGGGAATACTTATACTTTTATAGTAGAAAATTAATTACAGATTAGGAGGAAAACAAGGAGGCTTGTTGCAGTGACGTGTCAACGGGAGAAGAAAGCGCGAACCTTTGGGAGAAGAACAAGAAAGGAGGAAAGGTCTCAAGGAAGGATAGCAAAACATCGAACGGTGTTTTTGGTCCAACAACACGTGCCCCGCATGCAGGTTGGTTCATACTTCGTAGTCGATGCAGTTTAACGATGTCAACAAATGCTAACGTTTAAATATTACAAGCATCTCGATGAATTATGTTGTGTGTGATTGATAGATAGATATTTGATGTGATGTGATATTTTTGTATTCCGTCAAACATAATATTTTACACCGAATGTGCTGTCCTATTGTCCACCGGACCGAACAGTAATCTTAAAACTCTAATACTAGACGACTAATTCAATTTTTTCGCCTCCAATATAATTTTAGTGGTTCGCGAGCTTTTAACACACGATGTTCTACCGTTTCAATCAGGTCAATGAAATCTCTCCGTCTTCACAGATACAATAAATTTGCGTCTAAACAACATGCATGTGATTGACAGACGACATCCATTTAAGCAAAACATCAGAACAAATTCTATTTTTCTCTATTTCGTCGGTGGACAAAAATCTATACCGCAAATGTGAGTGTCATTTTCACGATTTTATGAAGTGGTTTGCACCAAAATGACCATTGTCGATGTCCCCATTACGCCATATGTATGCACCTTTTTCTGGTAGGGACTTGGATTTCGATGGACAATTTATTTTAGGGAACAATAAGTTAAAAAAAAAAAGTGGGGTTATGGGGTCATTAACGAAATCGGTACTTAAGGCAGATAATAAGTAGTGTGTGGCCATGAAAATTGCTTTCTTCCCTTCTCCATTAATTACTCTTCTCCCTTTTCTATGGGATGGGATTAGGTGCTAACCCTTATAGGAGTTAGCACCGTGATAACTAGCAAAAAACGCTACTAAAAACAACGAAATCACTACGGATTATTATAAAATCAATACAACATCTAAGCTAAATCACTACTAATTCTTGGTTAGGACGGTGCTAACTCTTGTACAATTAGCACCGTAACCGCTCCCCTTTTCTCTTGATTCATGATTACGGACCAAGGTTGGTTGCAAAAAGATAACTCTTGTTGAATTCGTGACGTTTTAAGCCAGAAATGTTCATGAAGAGTACCAACCCTAACCAACTTACGTAGCACTCACACAAGAGCCAAAAATAAAAACCGAAAGAGAAATCAAATTGTTCCCTTGGCGGTTTTTGAATGGTCGTAGAATCACGATTGGAGAACATATTATCACGATTCTTCAATTTTATAATGAAGACCAAGAAAAAAACATGTGAATGTACGTACGTGAAAATAGCTTAGATTTTCTTGTATTTTAAGTATTTCTCAATCTTGTTCTGGTATTGATTTCAAAAATTTATCTAACGAAAGACAGAATAAGAGAAACCTATATTAACGACGGAGTAATCGTAATTCAACATCATATCATCATATTTCGTGCTTTGAAATTTAAAATTGAACTGTTATATTACAATAATAGTTTTATGCTAAAATCGAATATCCGATTAATAATCACGTTTTGCTTTCAGGGTGAAATGAATCAAATCCAACAGTATCATTGAGATGGGCCCCTGTACTTGGGAGTTGGGCCGTGGCAGGCAAAAAAAAAATGTCCATTGAACTGTCCATTGTGGATCATTTCAACTTTTCGCTAGGCCCGTACATTAATGATCCTTTCTATGTAATTAATAATTATGGTACCAATGGTGTATGAAAATCTCGATCTTTAATCGGTACTTACCATGTGTCTAACAAAGTAACCAATGTCACAAAATTTCTATCATAACTTACCACAATCGAACTAACGACAATATGTTTTATGAAATGAAACAAAACAGTTATTTTTAACGAATTTGAGATACTTACATTTGAAATGCAACTATCCGAATTGAATCATGATTCATATTAAGGGAACAGTCAGATACAAACAGTTTCTGTCAGAGAATGAAGAGCTTACTATGCATCCTTTGCATGGCGGTTTATATTCACCATCACATATGTTACACAAGCATGTTGCCAGATGATCAGGACAAAAGGAACTACAAAAGAGCTAAACCAACTTACAATACAAAAAAAAAAGCAATATATACACATTAGACAAACATCACTCATTTCACCCGAGCTTTCTTTCTTCCTCCTTTACTCTGACCACCTTCCGGCTGTTGTTCAGCAGCCCGGCCACGCTTCTTCTGCCTGCCAGGCCCTCCTTTCCTCTTACCCGATTCGTCCTCCGTCGACTGCTGACCACCCAGATTACCAGCAGGTTTCTTAGCAGCAGCAGCAGTAGCTTTGGCAGTCGTTTGATTAGCTTTCGACTCTTTCGCTGGTGTCTTGCATCCTAAATTTCCAGCAGGTTTCGTAGCAGTTACAGTAGTAGTAGTAGCTTTGGCAGTCGTTTGAGTACCTTTCGACTCTTTCGTTGGTGTCTTGCATCCTGACTTTACAGCAGGTTTCTTAGCAGCAACAGTAGTGGGTTTGGCAGTGGTTGGACTAGCTTTAGAAACTTTGGATGGTGCTTTCTTGTTGTCCAGCCGAGCATTTGGGGGCTTCTTCGTCGGAGGAGGAGGATCAAGCACCGCTGGTGGAAGTGTGATCGAGACCGGAGCAGCAGCAGTGCTGACAGTTCTGCTGCTGATGTAAGCCTTCAAGCTCTTGGTGACAATGTCTCGAAGGAGATTCGCGGATTTATATTCCCGAGTTGTTCTAGAGTAGAAGACCAATGCGTTGTTGGCCAGCAGGAGCAAGTCTCTGAAGAGTTCCTTGGCTGATAGAAGGGTGCCCTTGGAGATTTTGCCTCGTATGGTGTCGACATCTACGTGCTGCAATATCATTTTCTTGTACCTTCCTCTCTTCTGTGTAAGCAAAAAAAAGGATTGGATCAAATTGGTAGTAAGCAAAGATTAGTTAATTGCAAGCAAGTGTATGCATTTTCCTCCATTACCTGGCTGTCAAGCCTCCGGCGAAACACAGTGGCACATTTGTTCTCTGCAATGGTGTCGAAAATCCCAACAAGATCATCGACAGAAGCTTCTCCCTCATTGCTCGAGCCACCTCCTCTGCATTGGTAGTCACCACCTGAAACTCTGGCGACAGCTTCCCCACAAGTGCTCGTCGAGTTATCCTTTAGTTGAGCAGACATCGACGATGATCCCAAAGCATCAGCACTCTCTTCAATGCTTGTTTCCTTCCCATCTTGGCCACAAACCTTCCTCTTCCTCTTCCCTCTTCGGCCTTTCAAGAACCCTAGTGGTCGATCCTCCTCGAGGACCTTCCCATTGTCAGGAGAGGTCGAGGGTTCAGGCTTGGGTTCTAGACGGGGCTCGAGAGACCAGTTCGATCTGGTCTCCTGAGTGAAGCTACCTGCAGAGAGTCCATCTTTGGACGTCTCTTTGCTCAATGATTCCTCTACGATTCCCTCGGATTTCACTGATGGTGCAGGGGAAGAAGAATCATCCTTAATCTTCTCTGCCTTGAGAGTCTCAATCTTTGATTCAAGCGACCTGATGAGAAATCCTCCAGCGATAAGGATTCACCGAAACAACGTTCATGCCAAAGATGGAAGCTTTATAGTAAAAGAGTAGTGAGGAGAGAAGCAAAAAACGGGATAGAGGGGAAGGTTTTAGACTAACCCGATCGAGCCCTCTGATACTTCCAGGGCTCGTCTGAGTTCCGCCATTCGTTGCTTTCGAAGCTCATCGAACCAAGCTCTGTGGCAATGGCAGCGCCACATGAAAAAATCAGCCAGCTAGCTTGTTGCAAAGAGTTGAGCAAGATAAAGAGATTTCAAACGTGTAGCTCTTGGAAGAGGGAGTTGGGACTTACTTGCAACCAGAGTAACGCTGCTGCAAGTCCTCGTACTTGGTTCTACAGACCTGCAGATTAGAGGTTGAAAATATCCATCACAATAATAGACCCAAATGAATAATGTAACTAAAGCAAATTACATTCATTCAGAAATCACACCCAAACAAATAAATAAAAAAGGGTTAGTTTAGAGAATTTAAGATTCTAAAAATTCGGAAGATTCTAACTCTTGGATTGTTTAAAAAGGTATCTAAAAGGATCAACCAGTGAAATCTAAACCCTACTATTAGGAGAGATTTAATGTCCTAGCTTTTAGAGAATTCGAATCTCTCAACTTAAAACGATTTGAGCTATAGATTCACGGCCTCCATAAATTCAGTATCAAGTTATGTTCTTTTTGTTGCTTCTTATATCGTGTCTTTTTTACTACACACATTTCATATTTCTAAAATATAGAGGTATCAAATTTCTCAAAATCAGAGATATTTTATATCTTGATTTACAGACTTCCTCCTTCCAACTCCATCTTCCCTATTTTATCCCACCAAATACGCTTACCAATAAATTCTCATTATTAACCATAAACATGTTATTATTTGATTAAAAAAATAGAATTTTTACTCATTAGACATTAACAAACACGGTTACCAAAGAATAAACATTGTGCAATCCCTCAACAATTGAATTGTATAAAATCCAAAAATTTAAACTTCAATTCTCCATACCAACTCTAAATGCAACAAAGAAACAAGAGTTTCTTCTTAATCTATGAATCCCAATTTCTAATCTCACTCTGAAGAGCCTAAAGTAGATGAGATTCCGAGTAGCATACTTGAGGTTTGGCTTAATGATAATAATGAGTAAATTCAAGCACCTACGGGAGATATTTATTGAGTTAATTACGTTTTAAAGTCGTTCATCATAAGTGGCGTTAGATCATCAAGAAAAAGTTATTTGGCTGGTGTTCACATGCATATCACGTGGTAACCAATTTCTGGCAACCTCTCCCCATTCTCCCCTTTTAGCCAACGTATGTTTAGAAGAAAAGGTTACATTATAATACGCACTGAACTTGAAGGATTGGATTTGGGTACTTGGCCGAGCTAATAATATCGATAAAAGTATGGGATCTTAAACTTGAAGGACCGTATAAATTTTATATATCTAAAGGATTTTGTCGTCCATTTTTTAATAAGTGAGTTCCTAGGATCCTTCTCTTCAAGATCTCCCTCAGGCCACTGTGACCAACAAATCCGAATTTCGTTTATGGTGTTGTTGAAGTTATTGGATTGTCTTATTACGCATTATAAGTTGTAGAATATAAATATTATTATTGCTTTGATTCCACAGCCATGAATAAGTATAGATAATCAAACAGACAACAATACGTACTAAACGCCTTTGCATCAACTCCGTAATGCAATTTGATCAGACACAACTTATTTAAGAGTCTTTTTACTATATTTTAAAGTATTGGTTTTCGAGAAATAAATTGAACTTGTAACATAACATTAAAAGTACACATTCAATTTGTACTATAAAGACATTTTTACATTTATGTTATGTTACAAGTCCAGTTTTTATCATAACACAATTGCACAAATTCAGTTTGTACAATAAAAGAATTTGCACAAAAGTGTACAAATACAAACTGAAATTATACATAAGGCTAAAGTTATAAGTTTAATTTGTACCATAAATAAACTTTTACAAGCTGAAGTTGTACAATAACTTGAAAATTAAAAGTTGTACCATAACGATTTTTCAAATTAACTCGTTTAAATTATTTGTCTTGTAAAATAAGATAATTGGCCACATTGTTACCTTTTCTCATTGATTCATCTTAACACATACTCAATTGACTCATTTGGTGTCAAATGTCTGGTATGCTAGTGAAAATAAAATGAGTCATTTTCAAATTACTCTCTCCAATGAGTCATTTGCAAATGGTTATCCACCTCGCAGCCATTTGCTAATGACTCTTTTTATTATTATCATTACTAGATTTTAATCTTAACCCTCTCTTTTTTCATATACTCATTATTTTCAAACAATTTTTTTAATTATTTTTAGTAATACTTTTCAATTATTTATAGTAAATAATTGTTACTATTTTTAAGACCGATTTCAAATATACGTTATATTTGGTGTTAAAATGAAATATTTTGGAGCAATTACAATTTGTGAAAAATTTAATATAGAATTATCGTTCAAAACTAAAAATTATTATTATTATATATAGCTAATAACCAAATAAATGAATAATATATTACATGTTGGTTGCAAAGAAGATATTACATGTACGAACAAAATGATAACATTATAATTTTTTTTTAGCAAAACCTACATTTTTGAAAATATTTATATCACCAAATATCTACATTTATCGAATCACTTAAAACAGTAAAAAACAATTAAAACATCAAATCTTTTCCATCTCTCCCCACTATTGTTTTTGGTTTCTATCGCCGGGGGCATTTTCGACCTTTAGCAACTCTTCGTGGAGCCAGAAAAGGTTCACAGAATAATGGTGTGCATGAGACGTTGCGTGGAATCGACACCCTCGTACCACAGCCAAATTACCAAAACGCCCACACAATATGTTGAAACTAATTAAATAGAAAAACCGAAAAGAAGAAAGAAGGAAAAAATAAAAAAAACTGAAACAGACATAGGAAATGGAAATGGAAATGGAAATGGCAAATGGTATAACTATTTTGACCGGACAATTAATTAACTAATTTACTAATTCAAAACTTATTCACTAAAGAGAGAATTCGCATCAAATTAAATTAATGACTATTATTATTATTAGCCTTAAATTAAAAGATCACCTCTGGCGTGCAGGCGAATCGGGTCCGGAGCTCCGCGGCGACGGCGTCCCAATCTCTGGTCCCATGTCGGAGCACCGCTCCTCCTAGCAACAATTCCTCCCACGTCCCCCACCCCGCCGCCGCTGCTGCTGCTGCCATCACCACCGCGCCCATCTATCTCCGGCACGAAAACCCTAGGTAATTTCAATCCTCTTCTTCTAGGGGTAAAAGAACATCGTAGAATGACTTTCCCCTTTCTCTCAATCCCCAAAGACTCGCAGATAATGAATTCTAGAGCTAGGAAATCTGCCGGCGGATGGGATTAATTAAAGCGGGAAGGCGGTGGGATTAGCGGGAAGGCGGTTTTCCGGGCGGGTTTGGGTTTTGGCGGATATTTAATAATGGAAAAGCGGAGGCGCGTTAGAGAGAGAGAGAGGTTTTCGAGGGAGGGGATTTGGTTTGAAGTTTGAATGGGATTGGTTTTCAAATTTCTTCTCTATCTCTCTCTTTCTCTCTCTTACTTTACTAATTTCCTTAGACTGAGCGGATTGCATTTATCCTCTTTCTGTCCTTTTATATTCCCGCTGTTGGGTAAATGACGCTCTTGCCCTCCCCATTCTTCCCCGGCGCAGTACAATTTGGATTTTCCATTTCACATATTCAAAAAAAAAAAAAAAAAACAAGACATCGGTAACTCTATAGTGATTACTGATTAGCCCTATGTTAATCATGAATTGTTATGTCATATTTGTAACTCTTACCATGGAAAAAAGTTAATCACTACAAGTGTAAAAATAATGAATATAACTATAATCGTAAGTGAGACGAGATGTGGATGGGATTGGGTTACGCACATCACATTTCAAGACCTCACTAGGAAATCTAAGATAATTTTTGTCTTGCGCATCAAGCAAAACTCCACTTAAAACGCAATATATAGGCTAAATCAAATCGTATCGTGCAATGTTTGAGTTTATGAATGCAAATAAACACCATGTAACATAGATTGCTCACAAATACATGAAAAAACATTACAAATGTGTAACTTTTACCCAATGGAGGCGTCGCAAATGTGTTTCAGTTCCTGGAACCGACACAACGGGACTGTGGGATATGTATTGAGGGTCAAACGTCAATGCGATTATGCTCTTACAACTAGTGAGTTTTGAACTTTGGTATTTTCACTTCACAGATGGGAGGTAGGTAACAACTAACATGTAGAAGGTTTTCTGATTATCCAGGCACATAAAAAACTTAAAGAATTCTAGTTAGAAAATCGCATTGATAGCCTCTACTCGTGTCACAGTAGGAACACATGATAGATATGTTGTATGGATTTAAAATGGGGACATCCAAAGCCACCCTTGCGAAGCAAGTCTCTCCGAGAGACTCTCCATAGCGTCCAACTATCTTGTCAAAGGGAGGCTGGAGACCACTCGCTGAATGGACGGATAAGCCAGTCATAAGTATGTAGGCACAAGTTAAGCTGATCATTGTTCACTGAATCAGCATCTATCATTGCGATATCAAGACTAGTTATTCTAAACATTTGCATCTATCATTGTGATTACAAGACCAGCCATTCCAACGATTTAGATTATGTTCATCGAAAAGTCGGCAGAGAGATATCAATGTAGGGCCCGTCTACCTAAACCACCTGATACATGTATGATGTACCAATAAACACAACATGAGGAGATCATATATCTCAATCAGAGTTAACTGTGTATTTGGTAGCTTTGCCAAATGACCAACAAAAGCAAAAGTGTTGTTAAAGAGTAAAATCTCCTCACAGCACAATTATATCATCATGATTAATATGCTTCTTCTTCTTCTGTATCATAGGATCGAAACAAATCTATATACAAGACAGACTCCAACCACCCTCTTTTCTTGACGTAAATCTTCTCAGGCTCCAACGAGAAAGAGTAATCATAATCACAGTAAATGACAAACATGGAGGATAACGATAAGAACCAAAACAACAAATAGTAAAACTAAACCACTGTCTATGAACACTGTATTCAAGCTTCCATTCTCCCTTTCTGCAGTGTGATGGGTTTGTTGGCTACTGCACCAAGCAAGCAAGCCGAGTAAATCAATCAATAGTTCCAAAAACAGTCGAGAGGAGCTCCCTGCGACACGACGGAAGAAATTTCAGCGTTCATCTCCCCATTGTCAGCAGCTCCGAAATTCTGCTTCAGATTCAACGCTCCTCCCTGTTTCTCCAGCAGTGCTCGAAGAAGAGTCGAGTTGTTGTCCTGTTGCATCTGGGTGGAAGAGAACTGGAAATTGGATGGGGAGAAGTGGGAATTGTAATGGGGCGAGTAGAGAGGAAACGGGGAAGAAGAAGGAATTGGATTTGATAGAATCTCGTTGTTGGTAACAATTGGTCTCTCGTCGCTGTTGGTTTCGGGATTGGAGAAGCAGGGCACGTAGGCCGAAGAAGATTCGGCCCCGGCTGGCTTGAGTTTCTGATCGCCGCTGTAAGCTGACGGCGATTCCATCAACGGTGGCAGCAGAGAGGAAGAACCCAGTTCGGCGAACCGGAGTAATCCGGAGATGTGGGTTTTCTTCCCGCTGCTGGTCTTCTGAAACACCCTGCAAATCACCCACTCGTTCTGCCGGAAAAACAGAGGAACAAAACAGAGGAAATTGAATAAAACAGAGGAAGAGGAAAACAGGGGATGGGAAAACTTTCTTTCTACTGTATAATTCTACTCTGTTTTTATTTATTTATTTACTTTACCTTGGCCGTTTTGGGGAGGTTGTGGATGGAGAATTTTCCGTCCAATCGATACTCGTGCATAACCCAATCGCTTTTTTCTCCTTTGGGTGCTCTGCCTTTGTAGAAGACGAGGGTTTTCTTCATCCCGACGAGGGATTTGCCTCTGTAAATCTCCTTGTCTTTCCCCGTTGCCTTCCAGTACCCAGCTTCCGTTGCTCTGTTTGTTCTCAGCCCTGTTGGGTACTTCCTGTCTCTCACGCAGAAGAAATACCACTCTTTCTCCCCCATCTTCGCCTTCCCTGCATCATCCAATACCAAAAAAAATGAACAACCAGAAAGTCAGCGGAGCAGAATTGGATCATTCTGCTGTTGTTGATTGGGGGGGTTTTTGTGGAAAAAAGAACTTACAGGGCAATTCCCAGGGCTCGGACTTATTCAAATCGACATCGCCGATCGCTCTGCAGGAGAAATTGGTGTCCAGAACCTTGTTGTAGAGGTAGTGCGAGATGAGTTCTTCGTCAGCTGGATGGAAACGAAACCCTGGTGGCAGATCCATCTGATCTTCCTCGTTACCAACTCCACACGCAACGCTATCTTCCATTTTTTCCTTAACAGAGAAAAAAAATGAAACTTGAGATAAACCCGAAAGGCGAAAGTCGAAACCACACCTCCAAAAACAGCAAAAGCGGGCAGAAGTAGAAGAAGAGAAGAAGAAGAAACGGAAAGGCAAGTGTCTGAATTCAATCAACCTTGAGAACCAGAGGGGGGAGTTACAGTGAATTTAGCAGGAAAGGGTGAGGAAGTTTAGGAGAAGATGAACGGAGGCCAAAAAGGAGATGAAAAAGTGGACGGCTAAAAGATGAAGCAGGAAAGGAGAGGAATTTCTTGAAAAGGGCTGCTCTGGTGAGTGGCCATACGCGAGATATATTACATAAGAGAGAAGAGAAGAGACGAAATTGGATGGAAATTGAACTGCTGATAGCCTAAAGAGATAAAGATGGAGAGAAAGCGAGAGAGAGAGAAAAAAAAAAAAGGCTATGATGAGGAAGTTGGGGAGGAGGAAAGGTAGATGAATTCAGGGGGAACTGAGGAAGAAGGGAGACGCCATTGAGAGAGAAAAGAGAGGAGAAAGTCGCAGATGAGGTATTTATTGTTTAAAAAAGAAGAGCAGTATGGAGGAGGGGAAGAAAAAAACCAGAGGCTTTCTCTATTTTTTGAAAGAGTTGTTTGATCTTTTCTTCCCCTGTTTTCTTCTGCACTTTCTTCTTTTGGAAGGGAGGGGAAGAAAGAAGCGTGGGTTGTAAGGCAACTCCTTGGTGGGTTTGTTTTGTTCTTTTGGCTTCCTCCTCTCCCCATTTTCGTTTTCTGGGTGACACTAGCTAGAGGTTAATGAAAAAAGGGGGTTGCTTCACAAAGTTGCAGACTTTACGCGGGAAAACAGTAGAGAAGATGTCAAGAGGTGCAAAGTGTGGATGAACAGTGGTGGGAGTTGGGAATAATACCTGCTGCGTATGTCGACGGATTCGTCAAAATCACCAAATGGGTCTACATAGTTGAATTAAAATAAGATCTGCACCTCTGGCGTGCAGGCAAATCGGGTACGCGAGCTTCCCCGTCTCTGGTCTCATGTCGGAGCAAAGAAGAGGACATCGGTAATTCGACATAGTCGTAGCCTCGTAGGGTATTGAATATTGATGCTATATGTTACGTGGTGTTGCTAGAATCATGAAAATCTGTAACATAAATTGAAATGTGTTTCGGTTCTTGAAATCAACGTAGCGAGATGATGGATTGAAGGTGTGGTCGGTCAAGGCCTCTTCCAACTGGTGAGTTTTAAAGTTCGAATGAGACTGTCCATAGCTTCCAACATTCCATCGTCAATGGAGGCTTCCACTCATTGAATGGACAAGAGCAGCCGGGCACGAGTTAAATCTGGTTATTGTTGCCTAAACTGATACATGTCACTGCAATTTTGAGGTTAATCATGCCGAACGATTTGGATTATGTTAACCGGAAAAGGAATGTCGCTTCTTAGTCTTATCAGAACACAATTGTAAACTTATAATCGAACACGAACTGGTGGGTTATCATCGACGAATAGAAACGATACCCGGCAAAATGGATCATTCTCCGTAAGGGTAGGATCATTTCGCTTCAGATTGCGAGTCATTCGCAGGTTAGGTCACAAAGAAGAGAGCGGGAAATACACTTGATAGAATTTCATTGAATGAACCATTTTCGCAATATACAAAATGTTGTTGCAGCAGTGTGGATAGCTGAAAATTCGCACCCCGACCAAAACAAATAACAGACAATGCAGCTACGTATTATGGCCGAAAACCCAGAAAGGCTTAAAGAGGGGAGCTGCTGAGTTAGTACCTTGAAAATGGAAGGAATCATGGTGTGGGTTCTGCAGTGGTCCGCTCACGTCCCTGCCTTAACATCCACCCCCTAATGTACAAAAAGGTTAAACCTTGGTCTGAAGCTTCGATCACCCGACTTCGACTGTTTCAGCCCCGTCGTAATCTGGTACTGTATCCAGAGGCGATATTTATATAGACATCTCAGACGGGAGTGAAAGAAGTAAGACAAAATCGTCAGGTGGAGAAAGGAAGAACCACATGCCGCACAGGGAGGGAGACTCGAAGGACTCTATGGTTCAGTGTGGGATCGAATTGGGTCGGAGTTATCTCAAGGTCGTTGAAGTACTAGATTCAACTCCCGGGCAGATTTCGCCAGGACACCACCTTTCCTGCACACCACACCACGGGCAAACGAATTAAGTTTTTTGTGTTTTATTTGTCACAGTATGAAGAAAAAAGGATTGTATGCATAACAAGCCGTCGGGCAAGGATGGAAATGAGATTTTCCTGCAGACATACTGCTTACCTGACGAGTGAAGGAAGGATTTGTTGAATCTTCTGTAGCTCGATGAAGCATTGGTTACAGCAGTCGATCCTGCAAATCCGATTTATCAAAAAGCAGTCAATATACGCAACAGAAGAATATGGAGAACAACTAGCAGCATGCCATATGAGTTTGTAGTGGTTAGACAAACCTTTCCTCTGCATGAAGATTAACGCCAACTGGACGAGGAGCTGAAACTGTGGAACGAATCGTTGGTCCAAAGACTGCTACAAGCTTCAGCAGCATCTCCAGTGATGTATTTGCATGCCTAAGTGGAAGATACAGTTAGAGATCTGCGGCCCATACTCTTATTTACCGGAGGTAAAAAGGCGTACACGCGAACAAATACTTACCTTTCCATCTGGCTATTGAGTAAGCCCACAAGCACAGGAAGCAAGGACGAAAATAAATCCAAGGTGATGATTTCTATTTTGTCTACTAGAACACCGACCACATCTGCTTGCACCTAAAACACACAAGAACAGCAATTCAGAATTTATGATTTTACTACAGAAACAGCAAACATCGGAGAAGGGAAGGAAAAGTTCCGTACATCAATACCGACTGAGTGATCAGGTAGTCGCCTCATGGCATTGATTGCACCTTTGAAGTCGCTCCGCTCCCAAAAATGTCGAATGACCTGAAAAAAGAACATTGATATGTTCAGAAGCGAAATGGCTACAGATAATTATGTGATAATTATCTTTTGTTTTACTTAAGCATACTATGTTTATCAGTAAAAGAGTCAGATAGTAGAACTTTCAGGGTACTCTAAATAAACCATTCGTGTGATATGAATCCCCTAAACACAACACAATAAAACCACATTTCAGCAACTTTCGGATGAATGCACGTCGGCAAGTGAAAGTTGCAAGAATCTATCCCTTAAGCTGGCTAATTACTTACTTGCAATTTAGTTAATCGAGATTTAAGAGTACTTAAAATGGCATCATGGTTTTGCAACAGATCTTCAATCACATCCCCACAGCCAGAGTCCCTTCCAGAAATCTGAGGCTCTTCATTCTGTAACAAAGAAAGAAGATTGAACGAAGTTAGTACTGGACCACCCTTGTACTAAAACAAACCCTTATAGATTCAAGTTAAACAGTTTGATGCCCCAAATGTGTCGTTTTAATTTCCCTTCCTAAACGAGAAAATTGGACAAAGACGAAGCCAATCCAAAGTAATCTGAACTCGCACAATGGATGGCACAGCAGTTAACTCTTCGAAGAAAGGATAAATATCATACCGCAGTGGGAGGTGATTTATCCATCACAGGCACTCGCCGAGTAGCCTGTTTAACTGTAGTGAAGGCGGATTTTTCAAATTCAGGTGAACTACTTCGGCTAGAATTAGATGCTGCTGAAGATCCATGATCAGCTGAGACACACTCCCTTAGCATAACCTGTGGCTCTCCCTTCTGTGACCATAAATAAGATGAAGGCTGGTTAGATAAGTTGACATCTGCCAATGTAGAGAAATATAGTTTTGAAAATTCTATACATTTATAATCAATGAAAATATTCAGAAACCTAATACTGAAAAGTGAAACCTGAACATCTGAATGAGTTTTACTTTCGGTATTATTCAAGACTTCTCTTTGAGACAGCAACAACAAACAGTTCCCTTTGTTATAGAATTCTTAAATAACCTATCAGGTTTTCAACATTTTCCTTGTGCTAGATCACAGGATATCGTTGTCAACTGATTCCAGAAGTGTTTTGCCGACTATTCTTCCTTAATTACCTTATTAAGTTGATAACTATGCTACAATCATAATTAAGCTGTTTGACTAAGTTGTCAATGCATCCAGCCATATGTAGGGAAAAAAGTATCTCACATCTTCAACCAAGTGACAATATGCTACACACACTTGAGCTGACATAAACCATACCATGATTGGAGGTGCACGATCCATTGCAGGTATACGGCGACGGGCCCTATTAACTGCTGTGAGTGCTGATTTTTCGACTTCAGGAGTATTGTTAGGCGCGTCAGACGACATTCCAGGTCCATAACCAGCAGAGGTGGAGTCCTTTATAGAAATCTGTGGCTCTTCCTTCTGTAGCCACAAAATAAGAACAAGCAGGAGTTGTAAGAAAACGCGACCTTGTACAAAAGGAATCCAACTATATGAGTAACAACTACGATGCCAATTTCTTTGAATGGATCTCACATCTTCGACCAAGTGGTCAATAGCAAACAGACTTAAAACTGTCACGTTAAACTCCTCCATGCAAGATAAAGACCATACCATGATTGGCCGCGTTCTATCCATCCCAGGTACTCGGCGACGGGGCCTACTAACTGTGGAGAAGGGCAATTTTTCCATTTCAGGAGTATTATTAGAGGTTCTATCAGATGCTACAGCAAGTCCAAAATTAGCAGAGACCGACTCTCTCATAGAAATCCGCTGCTCTTCCTTCTGCAACCAAAGAAAATCATAAACGAAAATGAGACCTTGTACCAAGAAATTGATGTGCTACCACTTTTAATTATCTCTATTTCTAATACTGCAAAATAAATTGGCAATACACAAGACAACCTGACAGAGAGCAACTCTTAATGTAAATGATAGAGCATACCACTGCAGTTGTCATCCTACTACCAGTTGCAGGTAGATCACGTGGTATCTTATGAATTGTGGCGAAGGGTGATATATCTGTATCGGCAGTACGGCTGAGGTTTCTATACGATGATGCCACTGGATGGGTGCCTTCTGATTCAGGGACAGGATTAGACGATGTTGGGGCCGATGAGGTCAGACGAGTACGGTAGGTTCCTACACTGGACGCCCTCCGGTGAGGGCGGTCCACTTCAGTTACAGCGCGAGAGGATGTGGAAGATGGAGGATTTATACTTCTATGGATTCCAGGTAATCCATGAGAAGAAGACCTGCGTACTCGAATGGGAGCTTTATCAGCTCCAGTTACAGCAGGTGAGGCTGTATTTGATGGTGGAAGTGGACTTCCATCACTCTCGGGTTTACCTCTAGAAGCTGGATTGGGTTCAGAAAAAGGAGTGACTGGTGTTTTATATGTTTCAGCTGTTACATGAGGGCTCATATCAGAAGCTGTTCCAGGTAATCCATGAGACGAATACCTGCGTACTCGAATGGGAGCTTTATCTGCTTCAGATACAGCAGGTGAGGCTGTATTTGATGGTGGAACTGAACTTCGATCACTCTCAGGTTTACCTCTAGAAGCTGGAGTGGGTTCAGAAAAAGGAGTGGCTGGTGTTTTGTCTGTTTCAGCTGTTACATGAGGGCTCATATCAGGAGCTGTTCCAGGTAACCCATGAGAAGAAGACCTGCGTACTCGAATGGGAGCTTTATCTGCTTCAGATACAGCAGGCGATGCTGTATTTGATGGTGGAATTGGACTTCCATCACACTCCGGTTTACCTCTAGAAGCTGGCTTGGGTTCAGAAAAAGGAGCGACTTGTGTGTTATCTGTTTCAGCTGTTATATGAGGGCTCATATCAGGAGTTATATTGGGAGTATTAATTGCTCCTTGCACAGGAAGATCTCCATTGGGTGATTGATCTTCAGTGCTTGACTTTTCTCGTCTTTCGAACCTCTCAACAAGAGAACGAGTTCTGCCTTCCACCACTGCAACTGCAAGAATGGAAATAAAAGAAATAACGTAAGAGTTTTTACATGCGATCCTATTTCTTTGTTGAAAAGTAAACAATAAGCAGCAAGAAACGAACCTCCATTGACAATCCTAACTGGGTTTACTCTTTTAAATTTATCAGCTTCATCACCTGCTAAAAATATACATTTTCAGTAGCTGGATATGGGAGTGTAAAAGAGCAACAAGAATATGTTGTATGACCTGAGCAGGGTGGTATAAAAGAGAAACAGAATAAGAATTTCAGGTTGTATGCTGTTAATGAGTATAGAATAAGCAAACTAAACAGTTACCTCCATTCACATTGTTACTTGGCTCGGTCCTTATAGTTTTAGCAGGTTCATCACCTGCAGAAACATGACAATTTGCACAATAAACTACTGAGTACACATTACAATATAAAATCAAACAAGAGAAGTACCAGAACTCCTGGGAGAAGTACAAGATAATTATGTGACATGCCCTGGAGATGAGAATATAAAATGAAGGCAGAAAAGGGGGGTGGTAGAAGAATTGTCGCCTGTATGTCCCTTCGGTACATGTGGATTTCTTAAAAATCTGGTTAATAGATAAAAGTGGTGATCTCTATGCAAGAATGTGAGCATTATTTTGTTTCTTATTAGTACGAAAGACATTTCACATAGGAATCACAACTAGAAAACAATAATTGGAAACAACAGCAAGCTTCTGGTATAAAAACTTACAATTTTCACTAGTAGGGGGTTTCTCTGGAGATGGCAACTTCTCGGATTTTTGTGCTACACTGGGAAACAAAGAACCTTTTTCCTCATTGGACTTCTGAGTTCCCTCTTCAAGCACAATTTTGGTCTGCACAGGCACATCTGCTGTAATCTCTTTCTCAATAGCTACATTGGCAATATTTATAGGTTCAATTATCACTGAGACGTCCTTGATATCACTTTTGGAAGCCCTTCTCACCGGTCTAAGTAGCATTCCTGGTTTAGTCCTTGAAAAGGTAATCTTTTCATTTTTTGCATCAACAGAGTCCTTTTCTATGGCAGGTTGCTGAGGTACTACTGTTGGTGCAATAAAAGATTTATCAAGTGTCTGACCACCAGATTTGGTATTCAGTTCCACCGAATGGCATTGCTTCTCTATTGGGGGATTATATGCTTGAATTGTGTCCAATGGGAAGACAACATTACCAGAGTTCAGTGAACCAGTCCTTTGCAAAGCAATAGGACTTCCACCACTAGCTGAAATTCGAATGAAGAAATCGTCAGAAATGGGAAAGATCTTCACAAAATGCATTCCTAGTGAGGTGTGACAAAATCCTGGGTTGTGTTTTCTTATCTGACCTCAAAATTTTAGTATCTAATAAAACTTCAGCTTTAGAGAAAATAGACAGAGTGCCAAAATTAAAAAAAAATTAACCTATAAAATGAGCACATAATGGTCCCAGAAAATAACTTACAATCAATATATATGTTCTTTATGTCTTTTGTGTCGATTTCCGGAGACCTAGAGCGCAAACCCGCAACTGATTTTATATCACTGCTTATGTCTCCAGAATGAGTTTTTGAGAAAGTGAACATCTGCTCTGTGTATTCATTTTCTTCATGCACATCACCAGTCCCATATGGCTCAATAAGCTGAAAAATAGGAAGCACTTTTTAACTCATCCAAATGCTGTCTGAAGATCACAATCAGGTAATGCATCAAACTTATTAATATGAAATAGCATGTAAACAACGAATGGAAGGAAGCCAAAAAATACCGAAATGTCTGCCACCCAAACTCCAACGGTATTATGATAGTATGAGCAACCCAAAAGTTTCCCATCTTGAATGCAGAGGTCACCAAGGGTAGACCATCCCATGTCCACTGAATCATGACAAATCACAGGCTCCCAAGAATATATCTGCAACCCACAAAGCAAAGCTTGAGCTAACGCCCTTAATAAATTAACTTAAGAAGTATGATACTGGGGAGCATTCCAAACCTTGAGATTATCGTCTAATCCACAAAAAAGTGTCCTTCCATCAGGATGAAACGCCATAGAGCGTACTCCCGTTGCCTGGAAAAGAGCAATTAAAATTTAGGAACTGGAATTCCACTAGCACCAGCACACAAATTGTTGCTAGCCTCAAATTAACAGGAATTGGAAGCGATACTCTATCCCAATTGAACCACACAGTGAAGAAATAAATAAATTATTGTCTGTAGGAAGAGATATCTTAAAGACTTGTTACTTAGATGGCTAACCAAACTGCTGACAAGATTTCTGGTTAAATGGGCTCGGAATTCAACATTTGACATACCTCGGGTCTTGCTGATCCAATTAATTCGAATGTTTCAAGATCCCAGAATTTCACAGTTCGATCAGCAGAACCTGAACATAAAATGCATACTTTAACGACTTAATAGGAAGAACCATCAACAAAAAGGGAAGGGATAACGATAGATATCATAACAGCATCCAGTCAACCGACAAGAGGAAAATTTACTTCACAAATCATCATTATCGATTATTTTTCTTTTCTGGCGCAAATAGTCATGAAAATCAAACAGCAAAGCACCCACCTGTCGCTAAGAGAAACTCAAGGGGATGGAAGTCTAATGATCTGATAGGTCCTTCATGGAATTTAAAATCGTGTAAAAGCTTTCCTGCAGTAAGATCCCACACCTATTGAAATAGTACCAAAATATCAATCAAGTGGCACAAACTAAATCCCAAAACAAGCATTGGAATGAAATATTCTGATCAATCGATACATTGGAGACCCGAAAAGAAAGATAGAGACCACACAAAGAAAAATCAATACCAACCTTTACAGCATTATCAAATCCACCAGACACAACCCAGCGGCCATCAGGAGTGAATTTAATGGTACTAATGGCTTGACTGTGGCCCTTGTATGTGTGAATGCATCCTTTCTTTCTGATATCCCATATCCTCAGATTCGTGTCCGCAGAACCAGATGCAAAGAATTCACCAAATGGATGAAACTCAACGGCATTGCAGTCGGATCTGTGTCCAGTAAGAGTGCGAACCACTACACTTCAAGAATAACCAGAAATATTATTAGGACTCCCGATGAAAAGAATCAAGTGTCCTACAGGAACAAATCAGAGCTGAAATTGCAAGGATCTAAAAAGGGGGGAAAATTGCATTCTCTACTACCTTCTTCGATGGAATCAAATCTATCAAGAAAAATGGCATCAACAACTCACTTCTCTGTTCAGCATTTCAATGCCAATTCACCATACCTCTACATGAAACAAGGCAAAATAAGAAAGTAGAACAGTGAACCAACTTACTTTTTGCTTCTTCTAAATCCCACATTTTTATTGCACCAGCAGAAGACCCAGCAAGCACCAAAACTTCAGCAGCATCAAATGCTACGGATCCAACTGGACTCGTGTGGCCGCATAAACTCTGTGAAAATTCGAAGAAGAATATCAAAACTTCTTCCAGAAAACCAAGCTCCCAACCACACCCATAATACTTGTTGCACGACTTAAAGATGCAATGTAAAAAAACTCGGAGCCAAATGAACCTAAATATATTCAGAAGACCATTAACTGCATTTATGCAGCTAGCTTGTCAAAAAAAGGAAAGAAATTCACAGCAGAAAGCCCAATGGCCAGGACAGAGCAAATCCCTTTTAAGAGGGTAGAGATAACAAATATGCTACTACTTTGGGATAGCTTGGAGAAGATCAAAGTTAAGAAAAACGAAACCAACCATCAAAGAAGTAGGTTTGCCAATCGACCATAGATTCACTTTGTGATCATCCCCACCCGTGATGAACAGTCTACCAGCCTTTCTTCCTATGCTCAGGCAATTCACATTGCTGGAGTGCGCCACAAATTCCTCTATGTCATTTTAAGTCAAGGAAAAATGGGAAGTGGTAAAAAAAGAAAAGGAAACGAAACATAGGTGCAACAGAATGTAAATCAATACAATTCCTAAAGGGAACACTGAAACTAGGTCAAGAAACCACAGAAATAGTAACTACACATTAAATGCTCCGAAGGTTGAACAAGAAATGCAAATCTAGCGGAGCTCAGATAGCTCAAATCTCACACTCCCTCTAATCGTCGTACAAACTCTCAATAATCAGCACATAGTTCCGCTAATCCAACTCCAAAGAGAGCTTAAATCTCACTCGCTGAAACACCAAATGGAGTTGCAGCTCAAGAAGCACCAAACGAAAAGCAAAGAGGGGGCATCGGTGGCACTAGGAGCTCTAGTTCAACGCACAATCTCGCAAATTCGAGTCTCAGATAGCTTAAATCTTACTCCCTGAAACGAGGACTAAAACACCAACGAATTCGCAATCAAAATCTCAGAAGCGAAGGCAAAAAAAACGTAGAGCAAGTCGCTAGCATTCAGAGCTCGAATTCAGGGCAGAATCGCAGCTAATCCCTGCCAACAAGCGACGCTAATCCGACTCTAAGACAAACTTAATTCTCACTCCCGCAGCAAGACACCGACGAACATTTTGCTGCCAAAAAAAAAATCACCCAGATAGATGAAATCAGGCAGGCATTCAGAGAGCTCTCTAGTTCAACGCTAATCCAGCTGAGGGGGGAAACAGGAAATGCGCAATTCAAAGCCTCATCTAGTCAAACAGTTTGGCAGCGAACAAAGAGGATACGCAGCTTATATCCACGCTTCGCCATCTTCTCCTTGTTTTTCTCCGTTCGACTCCGGCGACAATCTAGCCTCAAAAGAAATCCCCGGAGATCAGAGGAAGAGGAAGCGCCGACGGAGCAAGAAGAAGAAGGAAACTCGCCGGGAAACGCAGCCAGGTAATATTATCTCGGATTCCGAAGCGAGGAAGATTAGAGGAGTGCGAGAATTTTGGCTCCGGACGGTGGATTTGTGGCTGTGTTTGCGTCTTTCGAGACACGGTAGTGTGTGAAAGGAGATTATGGACAGAGAGAGAGGGAGAGGAAGAACAGGAGGAGGAGATGGCAGAGGGGAAAATGTAAAAAAAAAGGAAAAATTCAGATCTTAATTCCTTTCTTACAGACAGGAAAGGGAAGGAAGGAAGAAGGAGAGAGCCTGACAGCCATATTCTTTATTTTTTATTTTCCACTTAGTTTATTTATTTTGCTTCTAATTTGACCAAAATAGCCTTGTGGTTCAAATTTAGCATGAGTCGTGCATACAAGTATGCAAGATGGGTTGGTTGGATTTTGCATGATGGTCACGGCCCAGCCGCGACCAGTGGCGGAGCCAGGATTTCAAATTATCTATGTCCTTTATTCAGAATATATATAATATTTTATAAATAACCAACGAGTTTTCATATTATAAAAAAAAATGTAAAATATATTCATTATTTACACCATTATATCGTGATAATACCTAACGAGCTGTTGTAAAATGATAATGTCATGTAATTTAATTATTTTTTTGTGAATTAATGAACAAGTAATGAATTATATTGTAATGTTAAAATATCCTTATATTACTTGTAAGTGATTAATTCGATCTGTACAAATATATGTGGGGTTATTTTTTTCCCTCCCAAAAATTGCCCCTGTCCCGGTACAGGGGCAAACACCCCTGCCTCCGCCTATGGCCGCGACCATTGAATGAATGACCCGCACGTTGATAAGGCGATAGTGATTACGCTTTCACAGATTGTATCTTGCGTCGTGTGAGTACTATAATTGAGTTGAGACTAGTTAAACTCTAAGCACTTAATTTGTCTATGTACAGATTGAGTTCGAGTCCAAGTCGAATCTTCTATCAAGTTTTTGTAAGGTATTTAAGCTAATAAGATTTACAGGGTTGTGTGGTCTATCAATTTGAGAAGCGTGGGAATAGCATAAAGACATAAACCCACCTATTTATTGTTCTGTTGATTGAGATTTACACTTCAGTTCGATAGGTAAGAATCGTCATCAGATGACTGTCAAACAATATTAGTTTTTTTTTTGTTTTAATCATGTGTTCGAAAATAATAGCGAAATTTGTTAGAAAATTCTATTTCCTATAATGTTATGGGCCACATATTTTACAATTATATGAGCTATTTGGTTATGTGGGCTAATTGAAAGTGATCCAAATCAGGAGCCCAAAGATGTCTTGGATCGATATGGGCCTAAATGGGTGGAAACCCAATACTTATTCACCTTGGGTTTTATGGGAGCCCACGGTGACTGGTATATAAAGGAGTTGAGGTCGTGGTCAAGAATAAAGTAAATTCTAACAAAATTTACTACCCTTTTACTTACATGATGCTTATTATCTTTATAGTGTGTGGTTTGAGATGGAACATTGAGAAATTAAAAAACCAGGAGAACGAGTCGATGAGTACTCAGGCAAGTCGACAGAGCACCAGGCATGTAATTTATCTATTTATAAGATCAGTATCGGCTTTACTAGTTGCGATTGCAACAATAACATCCTTTTTAGCGAGGGAAGTAGCGGGAATCGGTGAAAATCACCAGTAGCCACTGAACTCCATTTTAGTTTAGACTGGACTTGATATAAAAAAAAAAACACCATCCAATCACATTAGTAAAGTGAATTTCAGTTATCAACAAGTAGTGAACCATATAAAAACAAGCAGACATTGTCGATGTTGTTGTTTTTTTTTTTTTACTTGCAATTCCGTTCACGAACACTTTTTTTTGTTGCCAACCCCTATTTGTTAGGACGTTAAACGTTACATTTCTCCAGCCACGAGACCACGCGAGCGGCTGAGGGAGCGGGGGCAAGAAGGAGACAAGACGGCTGAACGGCCCCCAGTCCCACCACCATGTCGCCGTCGGTGGCCAAAAGTTTGGTTTCCGATGAGTTAATGTTTGTTTTCATGTTTGCTTTTGTTCTCTTCGTTCGGTACGATATAAAGGCACAAAGACCCAAACCCACATTTTGGGTTTGTGGGTATTGTATAAGTATTGTAGGGTTGGTAATTGGTGAAAGGTTATGTCTTCATAGGTTTGTCTTTATGACATTGTGGAGTATTAGATTTTAGGTTTAGTGTTTTATTTTTGTGTGAGTGTAAGTTCAGGATGGTGATGAAAGGTAGGCATTAACGTAAGCAGAGTGCAGATTGTGAATTGGAATATATGTTATCACAATTCACAGTGTTTCGAATAGTTTAGAGAAACTGTTGTAAGTAAAATCGTCCAGGTTTCGTAAGTACGTTATGGTTGACTCACATATCAGCGTATATGTATGTGTGTGTATGTGAGAACATCCGTAATTGTTGTTCATGTTTAAGTCAAAATTTTCACTTTTGCCTCTTGTTTATGCGCGTGTCACCATGTTTTATTCATGATGATGCGCGTAGGTTATAATGCACATGATTAATATGAAGGATTCGACGTACGCAATAGGTGGCAGCCTCCTCTTTGCAGCAGCGTGTCTCCTTTCACTTCGTCCCGTGCACATATAATAAGACTCCCGACAATTTCACCATTCGAACTTATGTCAAATAATTTTTTTCATCCACCTCCCTCCTCAACCAATCAATAAATGACATGGGACTCAAGTCATAATCCAATCTAATCCATCCACCAAATTATCCACCTAATCCAATCCATTTAAATCCAATTCATTTGATCCAAATCCAATTGGATTCGTGGATTCATGGATCAATCCATGGATCCAAATGGAAAATTACGATTTGGTACCTATATTTTTTATATTTTACATTTTAGTACCTAAAGTTTATATTTTATACGAAAAATATCATTGGAAAATTACATTTTGGTACCTAAAAATTTTCATTATGGCATTTTAGTACCAAAACTTTTCAAATTTTACATTTTTGGTCCAAGTCTTGGATGTCATTTGGATTCATGGATCATTCCGCCAATCCATTTGATCCAATCCATAAATCCACCAATCCATTAAATCCAATCTATTTGATCCATGGATCCACCAATCCAATCCACGAATCCTATCCAATTATCACCTCTATTTACACCAATTCATTTCGAATCGGTGTTAATGGTAATTAATTAATTAATCCCTTCATTTTCCTTCTTTTCCGTGGTCCATTCGTTCTGAGGAAGTACATGGTTTATTGTTTATTTGGGCCTCTGAGAGCCCACCACCCACCGGTCAATTATTTAAAATAAAACTAGTTTGGGCCACCTCTCTCATATTCAGAGAACCGCCCATGAGATTTAACTAATTAAGGAAATTAATCATGTAATTAGCAACTCAATTAATTAACGTTTAAGCACAACTACTACTTTCATGTTCGTTGCTGAGCAATGACAGCTGAGCCGAACCTTTCTTACTAAATAAACTCCTTTTTATTTTGTGATGATGAAGATGCTGCTTAGGTTGTAACTAGATCGTAGCCGCATCATTTACAATTTGCATAGAGGATGGTGCAACCAACGATCTATTAGCTAGCTTAACAATAGTTTTTTTTTTTTTTCTGTACTTGTTCGTGGATGGATATTCTTCACCCAACTCCATTACAATCATTAGAGGGTTGTGCTATACTTTTAGGCTACCACGTTGTTGTTGGGGAAGTTCAATGATGACGTCGTTTAATCACGATAGCATTTTGTTAATCTCTGGCTTAGTTAGGCATGATAGCATTTTGGAAGTAACGAATTGAAGGGGGGAAAATATTTTCGCGTTCTTACTGAGATTGAAACTAAATTGAACGATTGATGTGCTAATTTTTTTTACCCATTAGACCAGATCTTTATTTAAGGAAGTCATTTTGAACTGATATGACCTAAAAAAGCTCCAGACTTTATCATGACAAATGAAAATTCATTTCGCGGGTCTCTCAAAATGTTTAGAATGAAAACTCGATATAATTCATCTTACGGTAAATCATGCCGTAGCCCATTGAATTAGAAGAATCTCTTCTTCTATGAGTATGCAGTATGCTCAAAAACATGCATTGCACTTTTTGCTCTAACCCATCATTTCACACCACTATGGAGCCAATAATTGTGGAGGGTAGAGAGCTAGGGAGGGGAGCTGAATTGGGTTCCATCATCAAACCATATATATATATATAATAATTATAAGTATAGTGCATGACAGATCCAAACTCTGTAATCAATTGGCCAAGCTTTCCAGCAATTAAGAAGAAGAAAAAAAGGCGCAATCATATGATATGTGTAAATCTTAGTGCAGTCGACCTGAAAGTTAGTAGTACTGAATTTGTTGATGTTTGCATAAAAAAGCAAAGGAAATTTTGTGAGCCGTTGCCAATGGCGAAAAGGACATTTCACAGACCAGACCGACCTGATCTGGTGGGGGCTTGGTTGCTGGAGTTAATAAAGTTAACTTGGATTGACTGTCAAAACTGCAAGCAGGAGGGAGCGGCAGAGTTTTTGGATTCTCTCCTTTTGTTCTCTTCTCTATCCACATGCATGAAATTTATCCATACCGTATTAATAGTTAAGGGGTCGTTTGCTTGTTGGATTTGAAAAATGAGGGTTTTGGCTTAAAAAAACCTTTGGATTTATGAGGAATTTGTACCATCATGGATTTGAAGAGTCTATTGTTTGAACCGTATTAATAGTTAAGGGGTCGTTTGCTTGTTGGATTTGAAAAATGAGGGTTTTGGCTTAAAAAAACCTTTGGATTTATGAGGAATTTGTACCATCATGGATTTGAAGAGTCTATTGTTTGCATGATAGATTTGCTGATATAATTATGATGGATTTGCTATAAATATAACTAGTCATCAAGGATTTACAAATCCCACCCCAATATGTGGGATTTACAAGACCGTGGGGTCCACGGATTGGATCAAAAAGAGGGAACAAATCCGTGGACCCCACGGATTTAACACCTAACAACAAACAATGGACTTGGTTAAAATCCATCATGATTGGGATTTGAGTCCCAAAAATCCATCAAGCAAACGACCCCTAAATGTTTTGAGTTTGAGCCGGATTCCGTAACAACGTGATTCCAATAACTTAAATTGTTAGAAGATGGTCATGTATAATATTTAATCATATTTGTATAATATTTAATCTCATATGAAAGGTAAT